GCTGGGATTACAGGCGTGAGCCACTGCACCCAGCCACTAGTACTATTATTTACTTAATAACTTCAAAAATATATTTAGATGTTTACAAAATATTGTCTATTCATCTTAATAATATCTCTACACTAAAGGATTTGAGGGTATTTTTTTCCAGATGCCATGAAAATATGTAACCATTCAGATTGAAAAATGACTGTCAGGGGCCCCCTCTTCATCTTTGGGAAACACTGACCAGGCCTTCCTCATTCCTGATGTTCTACACAGCTAAGGCCCACAGAGAAGGGGATTGTCTGAGGTCTCACAGTCAGAATTTCAGAGGTAAGACCCCAACTCAGGTCCGACACCCAGCCTGGGATGTCCACACAGTACCTGCCTGCCTCCCATTCTCCAGGATGGGGGACGCCTTCTTACTCAGTCCACCAGGCCCTGCCTTCTCCTTTTCGTCCACAGCCTGCACCTTCACAGATTAGCCACCAGAGGTCTCTCTGGGATCAAGGACCAGTTTACTGGGCCTCGGGGAGGCCTGAAGGTTTTCAGGTAAGTCCCCGCATCTTAAACCTCTGGGGCTCAGGCAGATTTCAGTTCACCACCATTACCCTCACTACTATCAGTCACCACCTCTACTGCCTCTTACTGAGCATTTGCTATGCCAGGTGCTGTGCAAGCACTTAGCGTCTTAACTAATTCTCACAAAAACCTAATGTGGGGCCAGGTGCGGTGGCTCACGCCTGTAATCCCAGAACTCTGGGAGGCCGAGGTGGTTGGATCACCTGAGGTCAGAAGTTTGAGACCAGCCTGGCCAACATAGTGCAACCGCGTATCTACTAAAAATTAGTCAGGTATGGTGGTGGGTGCCTGTAATCCCGGCTACTCTGGAGGCTGAGGCAGGAGAATCGTTTGAACCTGGGAGGCAGAGGTTGCAGTGAGCCGAGATCACGCAGGTGCACTCCAGCCTGGGCGACAGAGGGAGGCTCCGTCTCAAAACAACAACAAAAATAAACTCTAATGATGTAGGTGCTATCATCATTTACAACTGGAGAAACTGAGGCACAGATAAACTGAGGGGCCCGTAATTTGTGTTAGTAGCTTAAATAAGGTAAGTCACGGGGTTCATGAGTGACAGGGCCAGCATTCCAATCCAGGTCAGCCTGACTCCAGAGGTGTGCCTTACGTTTGGGTTCGTGAAATAAATTACAAATACCAGGGACTGATGAGCAGGAACAAGCACAGCAGAGCAGGCTGAGTTCAGAACAAGCAGGGAAGGCCATGCTCATTTCTAGGTGGCACAGTGCCAAGGTGTCCAGGTTTGGGAAGATGGGGGTCTACTCACCTTGGAGCTCAACCCCAAGGCTCTCCTGAAATCCTACATCCACTTTTGGGGCTGGGCCTTAAGCGTGTTACAGCAACCTGGAGCATTGCTAAAGGAGCGGGCGGGAAGGGAGGGGCACAGTGGGGACTTGCGCCATGCTGTGAGGAGTGGTTTCAGGAGCCAGATGAGGCCTTGCTATTGGAGAAGGAAACGCAGCTGGGATTCGCCAGGACAAACGGTATAGGAATTGGGAAACAGGAGAATTGGGAAACGGCTTCCTTCAAGGGCTGGCGGGTGAGGGAGGGCGTGCACAGTTGTCGTCACACCGGTGGTTCTCAAGCCTTTACAGAAAGGGCACATGTGTTTTCCAGGTATTAAGGGCAGTGCTCTGGAGGGGGAAGATGGGGTCTTCAACACAAGACTAAGGCCTGGGCTACAACCCTCAAAGAGTGAGTATCTGGGGATAAGGAAGGCAGAGCCCATGGCCTTGGGTGGAAAACGACTTCTGCTGAACTGAAGATTATGTGTGAAGAGTCTGAAAGAGCTAGAGGGCAAAAAAAGATCCAGTATGTAAAGTTCTAAGGCATAGAGTGACGTGCCCAGGGTCTAAAGCTGGTCCACTATAGAACAGCCAACCCAACCTCTTTGCACAACTTGAAACACTGATACAATGCCAGCCGGCTAGGGTGCCAGGCCCAGGTGTTGATCAGTCGCCCATGGTGCAGCGTCTAAGAACAGGCTTTGGAAGCCCTCAAGCAGCCTTTGCCTTCTTCTAGAAGAAGGGCGCTGGCTATTTCAGTGAATGAAAAGCGAGAACTTTCTCAGGCATCCAGCTGCAAAAAAAAAATTTTTTAACTTGTCTCAAAATTCCTCAATGAATCTAAAAGGTCCAACCAAGAAAGGTGCTTGGTTGGATTGACAGAGCTCACAATATAGTGATGTAACTTCCTTACCAGGCCAGGCCACTATTCACTAGGGAAGGAGACTACACTGAATTTAGTAACCAAAGATTCCAGATACATAATTAGCCCCCAAGGGCAGAGTGGGGGTAGATCCCCATTTGACTTGTGCAGTGCCCTCAGGCAGCTCACAATCTGGGGAATGTGGCCAAGTAGTCACATGTCTCCAACACAGTCAGGTACTAGGCTAACCAGAGCAGGGAAGTGACAGGGTTGCTGAGGAGGGAGTTCTAAGTTCTGACCGAACTGACTAGGGAAGGTCCGCAGAGGCCCAGCCATCCGGGCTGGGTCTTAGAGCACAGCTTTTGATTTAGCACAGAAAGGAGGGTCTTTAGGGAAAAACCTAAAGTGAAGGCCTAGAGGTTTTAAGTGTTTGGGCAATGGTGGGTAGTTCTGATGGTTGGGAGTGACTTATGGAGGGCACGGTGCAAAGCAGGCTTGAGTCAAAAGACAGGCTTGGAAATGTGTTGTGCTCACTGAAGGAGGTAAGGTATGAAATGAAGGAATCGGCTGACAGGGGAGTAGGTTCCAGCAGCAAGGACATGAGGCTTGACGTCAGATAGACCTGGCTTCACCATTTAGGAAATGTGATCGTGGGCAAGTCACTTAACCTTTTATGCCTAGATTGCAAAGTGGGGATATTACCAGCACTTTCCTTTCCTGTACTAAGTACAGGAGATAACATACATAAAGTACTTAGTGTAGTTGGTATCAATGTTCATTTAGGGGATGTTAGAGATATTTTACCATTACAACTGAAAAGGCAGCTCTTTGTGTGGCATCTGTATCGACACACTTTCCTTTCTTCCATGGCCACAGTAAAAGGACATCCCCCCAGCTAAAGGTAGGTGGCACTAAATGTTCTCAGGCATTGGTTCCTGAAAGCTGAGGTGGCGATTTCCACCCCATCCCCCACCCCCGCCAAGGGGATATCTGGCAATTCTAGAGACATTTTTACTTGTCACAACTTGCAAGGTGCAACTGACATCTAGTGAGTAGGGGCCCAGGATGCTGCTAAACATTCTCTAATGCACAGAAAAGCCCCAAATGTTAATAGTAGTGAGGTTAAGAACAAATAATTATCCAGCCCCAAATGTCAATAAGAGTGAGGTTAAAAAACCCTGTGGTGGCTCACCCCTGCAATTCCAACACTTTGGGAGGCCAAGGTGGGCATCACCTGAGGTCGGGAGTTTGAGACCAGCCTGACCAACATGGAGAACCTCCGTTGCTACCAAAAATACAAAATTAGCTGAGCGTGGTGGTGCATGCCTATAATCCCAGCTACTCAGGAGGCTGAGGTAGGAGAAGTGCTTGAACCTGGGAGGCAGAGTTTGTGGTGAGTCCAGATGGTGCCATTGCACTCCAGCCTGGGCAACAAGAGCAAAACTCCATCTCCCCAACAACAAGAAGAAAGAAATCCTGCTCTAAGGAAACCCCTGCAACCTTTATGTAGCACCAGAGCAGCTGGAAATCTAGCCTGGGGCAAAAGAACACTTAGGCCCAAAATAGTAATTATGTATATGGTTTTGCTAATTTCTAAAAAGGCACCATTCCAGAGTCTACATCTGTCAGAGTAAATATCAGGGTGAGTGAAAAATGAAAGGCAATCTAGTATGTAAAGAATAATATCAAATGACCAAGTAGGATTGATTCCAAGTAAGCAAGGCCGCTTCAATATTCAAAAATGAATCAATGGAACCCACCATATCAAAAAGTGAAAAGAGAAAACGGTATGATCATATCAGATACAGAAATAACATTTGACAAAATTCAGTACTCATTAATGATTTTAAAATATCTCAGTACAGGAATAGAGGGGCTTCTATAAAGGTTGTACAGCTTGTATCACACAAGACTGAATGCTTTCCATACAAGGTCAGGAACAGGACTAGGATGTTCACTCACCACTTGTTTTCAAGCTGGGAATTTGAACCATTTCGATATGGCAAAAAAAAAAACAAGAAAGAAAGAAAAGAGATACAGATTGAAAAAGAAGACACACACCTGTCTCTATTTATAGACAACATGGTTGTCTAAAAAGAAAATCCCAAGAAACCTAACCCAAAACTTAGAATTATTGAGTACAGAAAGGTCACAGGATACAACATTAAAATACGCAAGTCAATTGTATTTCTATACACTACCAATGGACACACTGAAACTGGAATAAAAAAATTACCATTTATAATTGCTCCAAAGAAAATTAAATACTTAAGTATAAATCTAACAAAACACAGGATCTGATAAGTGGTTAAAATAACAAATAGTATTGGGAGGCCCTGGAGGCCAAGGCGGGCAAATCACCTGAGGTCAGGAGTTCAAGAATGGCCTGGCCAACAAGGCAAAGCCCGTCTCTACTAAAAACACAAAAATTAGCTGGGCATGATGGCATGCGCCTGTAGCCCCAGCTACTTAAGAAGCTGAGACAGGAGGATTGCTTGAACCTGGGAGGTTCTGCACTCCAGCCTGGGTAACACAGTAAGACTCTGTCTCAAAACAAACAAACAAACAGACAGACACACAAAAACAAAACACCCACCACAAACAGTGATAACACCAAAGGCTGGCAAAGTTGCAAAGGAAATAGATCACCCATACATTGTTGGTGGAGTAGTAAAATGGTACAGCTACTCTGGAGAATGGTTTAGAAGTTCCTTTTAAAACTAATACTGGGCTTACCATATGTATTAGTCTGTTTTCACGACACTGATAAAGACATACCTGAGACTGGGCGATTTACAAAAGAAAGAGGTTTAATTGGACTTACAGTTACAAATAAGTGGGGAAACCTCACAATCATGGCGGAAGGCAAGGAGGAACAGGTCACATCTTATCTGGATGGCAGCAGGCAAAAAGAGAATAAGCTTGTACAGGGAGACTCACCTTTTTAAAACCATCAGATCTCATGAGACTTATTCACTATCAGGAGAACAGTGCAGGAAAGACCCGCCCCCACAATTCAATCACCTCCCACAACGTGTGGAAATTCAAGATGAGATTTGGGTGTGGACACAGCCAAACCACATCACCGTACAATTCAGCAATCACACTCTTGGGCACATATAAGAGAGAAATTAAAACCTATCTTCATGCAGAAACACTTACACAAATATTTATAGCACTTCATTTGTAATAACCAAATCTGGAAACAATGTACATTTTTTTTCAGTGAGTGAATAGCTAAACATCAGTACCATGGGACCCTACTCAGTGATAAAAAGAAACAAATTACTGCTAAATGAAACAACTTAGATGAACATCAAGGAAATTATACTAAGTGAAAGAAGCCAATCCCAAAAAGATACATATGGCATAATTCAATTTATATAACATTCAAGAAATAACAAAATTATAGAGATGAAGAACAGAGATTCCTGGCTTCTGGAAAGGTTAGGGATGTGGGGGACTAAAGGGAGTGGATGTCCATAAAGGGGCAGCATAAAGGAGTCTTAAGGTCATGGTACAGTTAGGCATCTAGCTGGTGGTGGTGGTGTATACAAAGTGACTCGTGATAAAACTGCATACAGCTATACACACACGCACGCACGCGCATGCACACACACAAATGAGTATATATATAACTAATGAAATCTGAATCAGCTCTATGGATCGTGCCAATGTCACTTTCCTGGTTTCGATAATGTATTACAGTTTTGCGAGGTGTTAACACTGGGAAGCCCAGCTGAAAGGTACACCAGACCTCCTTCCTGTGCCTTTGAATCTTCCTGTAAATCTACAATTATTTCAAAATAAAAAAGCTTAAATCAAAAGAAGTAGATGACTGAATTTTAAGAGGCAAAATACTTGAACAAATACTTCATTAAAGAAGATAGGCCAATAAGCGTAAAAAGGTGCAAAACATCACTAGTCATTGGGAAAATGCAAATTAAAACTGCAACGAGAAGTCACTTTGCACCCATTAGAAGGGCTAAAATTTAAAAGATCACAATATTAAGTATTGGTGAGGATATGGAGCAACTGTAACTGTTATACATTAGGAATCCAAAAGGGTATGGCCGCTTTGGAAAACAATTTGCCAAAAGTTAGCACACGTTTCCCATACAACCCCATCATTTCACCTCTTGGTATTTACCTAAGAGAAATAAGAACATACGTCTACACAAAGACCTGTACGTCAATATTCACAGAAGCTTTATTCATAATAGCTGATTTGTTTTTATGATTAAGTATAGAGTATATCTGAGCCCAAAACTTGAGAATGACCGCTGGGGAGCACAAATTCAAGTTGTCCTTGTAACATACTCTGATTAGCAGCAGTTACAAGTGAGTTTTAAAGGAAGAATAAGAGGCAGTTTTTAAAATTGTTTACCAGAAATTTACATTAAAATAACTAAGCCATAAATAGCTGAAAATTTAAAGCAACCTCAAAGTCTATCAACTAATGAATGGATAAACAAATTCATCCATGCAATGGATACTATTCAGCAATAAAAAGAACCAATTACAGATACATGTAACAACATGGGGGAATAGAAAAAGCATGATCATGTTAAACGAAAGAAACCAGACACAAAAGGCTGCATATGTAATGGTGTTGTATGGCATTCTAGAAAAGACAAAATTGGAGACAGAAAAAAACAGATTAGCAGTTGCCAAGGACTGGGATTGGTTGCAAAGGGGCACAAGGGACCTTTTGGAGGCAAAGGAAACATTCTGCATCTTGATCGAGATGATGGTCACATGACTATAATCAAAACACACTGAACTATATATTTGAAAAAGGTAAATATAATTTAATTACATGTAAATTGTACTTCTTTTTTTTTTTTTAGGGAGACCAAGGGCCAAGGGTCTAGTAAAGTATACCCATTAAAGACACACATAATTCCTCAGCACAACCGCCATGGGCTAAGTATGAAAAAGGCAGCCTATATAGCAAAGTGCCCCAGGCTTAGGGTTCAAATTCAATCCACTGTCACTCAGGTTTATGCCTCCAGTAGTGCAATGGGCTTACCTGAGAGCCCTGGCTTTCTGGAAGAAGGGATTACAGCCATTAGGTATAAATGTGACTAGAAATAAAAACTTGAAGAGGTGGACAATCTAAGAGGATTGAGTGCCCTGCATAGAGGAAGTAAGACATTAGTGCATGAATGGACAGCAGGAAATACAAGCAGAAGTACTCTGGAGTCCTGGTTTTCTTCAGGTCAGCTAATATTTCAGAAAATGTTTAAGAAGCCCTTTGTGATTAAAACATATGGCACTTTACAACATTCTCTCTAACCCTCACAATTCCTCAAGGCAAACCCCCCTCTTGAGGCTGTAACAAAGGCAGCCAGCACCTTGGGAGGTGCTCAGGTTCTGGAACAGGACTTGTGTGTGTATCCCAGTGCTGCTACCTACTGGTTGGAGGCTTGGTATAGACTGCTAAATCTCTTTGACCTTCCTGTTCCAGAAATGATATTGACAATGGAAACAGACAACAGACTACATTTCCACCTTCCTCTCTCGGTAAAATGTTATACTTTAAGTGTTCCTTGAAGGCTTTGTTTTTAAACTTGTTTAATTCAGTAGTCAACAAAGATTACTTTTCAAATCATAGAGGAGGCAGCTCAGATGGTCCTGTTTTTTCTTTGTCTATGTGACTGTAGTATTATGATATATATAAACGTTGGTTTTTATACACAATTCCTGGCTCCTAAGTTCCATAGCCCTTGTTATTTCTCCCCAAGATAGTCTATAGAAACAAACAAAAAAGTACTCTAATTTTCCCCTGGCTTTCTGTCTTAGAGCTGGCGATAAAAAATCACCTTGTTTAATTGTGAGTCATAGACCCTCATTTCGGAAGTGATCCTGCTCCATGCTCTGGATGAAGGAATGCTGCATGGAGAGGCCAAGAAGAATCTCTTTCCTAGGTTTCCCCAGTCTATTAATATTACATTTTACATTTATCTGTTCAGTCATAATTCCACATGGCTATCAATCATGCCTACCCAGTTAAGTTTTTATAAAAGGCCCAAGGGGACAGACAGGGTTTGGAAAGCCATGGAGAGCTGATCCTGTAGAAGTTCCTGGAGGGCAGTACACACGGGTGGGCATGGAAGCTCTGCACCTCATCCCCCATCCCTTGCCCTATGCATCTTTTCATCTGTATCCTTTGGATAATATACTGGTAAACGTATTTCCCTGAGTTCCATGAGCTACTCTAACAAATTAAACCCCAAAACAGAATCATGGGAACACTGATTTATAATTTACAGCCAGTCAGAAGCACAGGTAAATAATCTGGCACTTGGCAATTGGCACTGGAGTGGTGGGGATGGGGGTGTCACTCTTGAGGACTGAGCCCTCATCCTGTAGGATCTGATGCCACCTCCAGGTAGGTGGTGTCAGAAATGAACTGGAGCACATCTGGCTAGTGCTTGCCACAGAACTGATTGCGTGCTTGCTGGTGGGAACAAATTCCCACCGATTTTTTGGGGAAAACTGTATTGAGAGAATAAACATTTTAAGCTTTGTGTTTTTCCCACTCAGTGAAAAAAAGGGAAGGGAAGGGGTGCCTTCCATTGTCGTGTCCTGAAATTAATCTCCACATTTCAAGAAAATTAAGTGTTACCTGTTGTGTCTGGGTTCTTCAGAGAAACAAAGGCAGCAGGAGACATATATACACACACACACACACACACACACACACACACACACATTTATACAGGTATACACATATAAACACACATATGTTAATATATTTAGACATAGAGATTGAGAGAGAGGGATGAGGGAACTACCGGCTCCATGACTGTGTGAGCCAGCAAGTCTGCGAGTCACAGGGCAGGCCAGTAGGCAGCAGCCGATGCTGTAGGCTTGAGGCAGAACTTCTTCTCCAGGCAAACCTCAGCTTTGCTCAAAGGCCTTTAAGCTGATTGGATGTGGCCCACTCACAATATTGAGAAAACCTCTTTTACCTAAAGGCAACTGATTATAGACATTAATTAACCACATTTACAAAATACCTTCACAGCAACACCTGGGTTAGTGTGTGACTGAATTATACATTGACACATATAAAACTGGCCACCACACCTGTCATTTGGGCTCATCTGCTATGCATGGAGAGGGCTGGAAATTCTTACTCCAGTTTTCAAGAGAAGCAGGAGGAAGTTTAGGGAGGGGAGGACTGTCTATCAGAAAAAAACAAAACAAAGCATTCCTGGTCCCTTTCTTCCTGGGCAACTCCTAACTCCTTGCACGGGTCTACTGCTTGTGCCACCTTCCCATATGAATTCTGTGGCATAAGCTGGAAACATTTAACCCAACATCTAATAAAGGCATCTGAGTGACATAAAAAGAAAAAAAAAGAGACACAGACAGCAACCTCTCAAAAATAAAAAATAAAATTCATTTATTGAAAAGAAAAAGCTTAACATATGATCCATGTGCAAAACCCAAAACAGGCTCTACGAGCTCTGGCATGAGCCACATCTCTACACACAGCATGCTGGAAGTGCACATCCATGCAGCCACGTGAGATACACAGTACTGTCTGGTTATCAACACCTAGTGCATGCTCGGTTTTCTTCACACATCCATTGACATGTTTTACAATAGAGTTACCAATTTTGTTACCCACCGAAAGAACATAGCTTCCCCAGAATAACTTTGACTTAAACCAAATAACGCAGTGAACGACAGGCACCCTGCACCCTCATTTCCTACCTTACTCACTCTGATAACCTCCTATCAGCACCATTATGTCCTGTGGCCAGGGAACAACTCATTGGCACAAAGGAAAGGGAAGAAATGTTATAGGCTGGTGCTGCTGGGGCAAACAGCCTTGCAACCAGCCAGACTTATTGTCGAAAAGTGTTAACCGTAATTTCAAAGACAAATCACACTCCTTCCTTTTCCCCTAATGGCCTCAGAGGTTTGAAATGTACTTTGGAAAATTAACTTCTAAGGCAGACCGGAAGCCAACCTCAAGTCCTGCCACTTGGACTCTGTGGCTTCCCTTCAAGGAAGCAGCATTGTGGACCTAGCGGGGGCTGATGCTGAGGCTTGCCTTAACATCTCATCAGCTACAAAATAAAATCCACTGCTACAGACCTGCTTGCTGTGAGCAGTGAGGAGACAGAGCTGTAAACAGACATAAACTGAGCTTTTTACACTTCCAAAAAATATGAGGTGAACATTAGTGTTAAACAGAGATCCTGTTCTAGGAAGAGAGAAATCTGAGAAGAGGAAAGTAAGATGAGAGAAGAAACATGATTTTTCTAATACACATGTTTGGGATCAACACTTTAAGACTACTGATAAAACTATAAATTTCACGGGGATAGACAGCAAGCAGTGAGCATCAGCCAATGAATCTGGCTACAGAGGTGAGATAGAAGAGGGCAGCAGAAATGAAATGATGCCACACATTCACACATATCTAGCCAGGGCTTGTGCAGATGAAGGGTTCTTAGCAGCTGGACAGCAGCACAATATAAATAATGCCATTTGTGAATGGTGACAGCTGCTAGGGAGGGTGAACAGAAGATGCCAGCTCACACTCTCGCTGGCAAGTGCCTGCACTTAGCAGGACGTGCACTGCCCACTGACAGCTGGAAGCCTGCCCCCAACAGCAGCATGGAGGAGAAAACCACCAAGGGGCTCTGAGAAAGCTACCTCTGGTTTGGGGAAGTTGGGGTGACGAGCAGGGTTGCAGAGCTCAAGAGTATCTAGACAGAAAGCCCACGGTTTCCCTTTGCTCCAGCAGATGCAGCCTCACAATTCCCGAAAACCTTTGCTCTGTGATATTTCTACTTATCCAGGGAAGACACCAGGGAGGGTTCTCTGCTTCAAGAAGCCCTGGGGGCTGCAGAAGAGATTCTGAGCTGGCTGAGCGCTGCTTGTAGAAGGGGAGGAAGGGCTTCTTCCCACTACCATTGGCTGGCTGACCCTTTGCTTGATGCCTAAGAGCTGTGCAGCTGCATAGCCAGGAAGATCCTCCGACTGGAGCCCCTTCCTGGGTGTTTCAAAAGAGCCAATCAGTCTGTCAGTGTAGCAGGAGCACTAGACAGAGATCAAACAGGCCATGCCAAATTGGCTTCCAGAAATCCTAAAGCTACAGCCAACTCTCCTACATACCATGTTCTTAAGGCCAGGGCCATGGGAGCAAGAGCCTGCATCTTGCTAAGAGCTGGGGGACCCTGGTATTCTACCATCCAGCCCTCAGGTCCCAGCATCACAGTCCCAGTCTCAGAACTCAATTGGGCAGGATGGCCTTTAGCAGCTCTGAGAAACGTCCACCAAGGAGTACGTGGGAATGACACAGATCTGGCCCTCCGGTTGGCATCCGCCTTCTCACCGAGACCACTCTCAGCACCACTGGGGAAGACAGCTAAGATAGTGGCTGGGCTTCCAGAGGCCAAGCTTAGAACCAGGAGATGACAGTTTCTGAGCCCACTGTGGTAACTTCTAAACCTGAAACTTCAGATGACAGGGCCTCTGCTACTCCCAGCTAGATTCTTGATCATATGGCACCTGTTAGACTCCACCATAGAACAGAAAGCGTAGGTGAAAAGCATCGTTCTTCTAAGGAAGAACAAGTCAACAGTGATGGCATGTTCCTAAGTTAACAAATCATTAGGTAGGTTGGGAGCCACTACAATGAGAGTCCCCTTTTTCCCATCCCTTCTCCTGGAAGTCAGCTAACCTGGCTTTGGAACAGAAGAGAAAGAAAAAACTGGGGCCATGTGAGTAGGTCTGAGCCCCATGAGCTTTGGTGAAACACAGAAGCAAAACTCCTGATACATTTTTGCTGCTCTCCCTCAACTAACTTTCAGAGTGAACCATAACTGCAGTGAAGCAAGAGCCTGGTGACAGGAACAGAGGAGACAAGGAGTCTGCTGTTACTTACACAGGAACACACACACATACACACGTGCAAACGTGCACACACAGTGCTAATGAGAGGGGGAATTCATCAATGACCTTCTGAAATACTTCTCGCAATAAGAGGAAAGAAGAGGCAGTCACAGCAAGGCAGTGTATCTTCTGCCTTCTCTGAAGTTTGTTCCCAAATATGAAGGCTGACCTTGAGGAGGGCCAACCTCAAGGCTGTCTGCAATACCCAGGGAGGCATTCTGGGGTAAAGACAGGGCTCGTTAGTGTTCAGTGGTTCACTGGTTCCTTTCAAAGTCCAGATCACAGAGGCAGCGTGGGGCCGGGCACTGGTTCTGCCCTATTCCCCACTGATTGTAAACAACCAAGCACCACACGCAGTTGTCAGACCAGCTGCTGTAAAGATTATGAACTTAATTTAAAACTCTCTGTGCACACTGACCTGAGCTACTCATCTGTGGCAAGAGAGCGGGTGTCGTCCCAGCCTGATGGTGACTGAGCATTGCTAATCCTTTCACCTGGCATGGGCTGAGGCTGGAATGTACACAGCCCCACTCCATACGCCTCTCACTCAGCGACCCTTCCCTCCGCCCGGTGCACCCGCGACATTTCGGCAGTCCTTCAGTGGTTTTTCATATGAAACCAGGCTGGTCAACAGGAAGCAAAATCTGTGCCTCCTCACCGAGGTACATTTTTAGATAATCCTAATTAAAACCTTTGAGTCCTCAGACAAGAGTGCCGAAGACCCAAGCAGACATCTCCTGGAGCGAGCTTCTTTTCAGCAGGAGAAGTTGAGTCAAAGTTCACTGAGGAAGAAGCGATTTGTAATAACCCCAAATCTAGAGAAAGTCTAAAAACAAAAATCTGATTTTAAATAAGATATAAATATTTTCAGTTTAGGCAATACTTCATATGTTTTAAGAGCTAAAGCAATTAAGAATACAGTACTGTGACCCACAACTAACGAACCTAGAGAAGAGACGCATTGCCTTAGGGGTCACAGCAAGCCAGAGTCAAGATTAAAAACTCCAGCTTGGGGGGCCTGTTTCAAATGACCAGGTAGGTCTAGCCACCCTCTGGAGACTTGAATAGGAAGAATATAGAGATACAAAATTTGGGAGAGAGATGGGAAAGAAGCCCAGCTTTATAAAGAGGGGAGGTTCCCAGTTATTTCATCTATGCTTGGCCCAGAAAAGAAGAAAACATGAGGTGGGGGACACTAAAATTGTTAAATAAAGTGAACTGTGCAGTGAGAATGAGTTAGGTGAGGTGCACCAGCAGGCAGAGGGCAGGTAAAAAGGAGGAGGTATGATGAGGGAGATCTGGAAAGTTCTGGGTGTAAATAGTGACAACCCTGTCACTGCGGCACTTCTGCGTGTCTGCCACCCCACCTCTCACCTGCCCTCAGCCTTACGTGGCCCAGGGTACCAGGTGCCAGGCGCCAGGCAGAGTGGTTCCCACACAGTGACCCTGACTTCCCTCAGAGCCTGCACCATACCTGAGGCTCTGGGTACAGGTAACGTGGACACACAGGGCATGGGTAGGCAGCTACAGAGACAAACCAAGATCCCTATATGAAGGCACGGGTGGAATTGATGAAGATGGGAGCATTGCTTGGCTGGATCAGCTCATAGAGAGCCACGTAGGTCCCCACCACAAAGCCCACGAAGCCCAGGATGCTGATCACGGCGTCCTTGAAGATGGTGAGGGGGCTCATGCCCTCTGAGTAGAAGGTGGTGACCTCCAGGAGGGGTGGGATGATGAGGGCCAGGGCACTGCTGCTCACGGAGCCCACCAGGGAGATAACCAGGTCCAGGCGGGGGATGAGGATGGCCAAGATGCCTGCAGGGAGAGAGGACATGCCTGTTTAAGATGCCCAGAGCTGGGAGAGGTCGATTTCCCTACCGTTGAGCAAATTCAGCATCTGCCCATCTTAAAGGACTGAGATCTCTAAGAAAACTTAGACATTATCCAGTCCAGTCTCTGTGAAATAGATGCCCAGAAATGTGGAATAACTGGCGGCCCACTGCAACGTCAGCAGAACTGGGACTGGAAACTGAATCTTCTGGCTCCGGTCCCCAGGCTTTCAGCTTTTCTTGCTATAGTGCATGACTTCCATCTTTCTTGGCAAAAGGAAACAAATTATATTTCAGGGAAATCTGGTTTCTACCAAAGAAGGGAGGGTAGGGAGCAGAAAAGGAGGTGGACATTTCTGAGCAGCTGCTCATTTTCTTACCAGTCAACACAAACATCTCTACTTAACCAACAAGACACCAAATAGGAAAAGAAATCCCTCCTTCTCAAAAGACAGCATGATAAAACCCCATTTCACAGAGCATTTTCATACAGGTGAAAAAAGGCAGTTCTGTCAGCAGGCTGACCCCTGGCAAAGCCCCACAAAATGACCACGTCTCTGTGTCAGGACAACCCCAGCTCCAACATGTGAAACTCAGCCACAGGTGAGCGAGGAAGGAGGGACTGACGAAGACCAGTGGTGCACTGCCACAGGGGGTGCCGTCAGCTTCCGTGCCATAGCAGCCATTGCCAACACTGCCAGACTGCTGTCAGCAGGAGAAGGATTCACCAAACACACCCATCCTAATGCCCACTGACCTCACGCTTCCCATCTCACTGATCTTGCCACCAGGTGAGCAAAGGTCAGTATTTCACAGGTTTACTGAGGGCTGTCGGCTTTGGAACTAGGTTCTTGTGTTCAGATCCTGGCTCTGCTGATAATTAGCTGAGTGGCATTGGGGAAGTTATGGCACCTTTCCATTCCCCAGTTTTCTTGTTGGCAGAATGGGGATATTAACTGCTCCTATGTCACAGAGATGTCATAATGATCAAATGAGGTTATGCAGCTGCTTAACAGAAGGCCTGGTACAGAGTAGGGATGTCTTACATGTAATGCTATCATCATTAGTATTCATTTTTTGGCCATGAAAAATACATCCTTAACCTGTTAGTAATCAAATGTAGTTTGACAGACTGTGTTTCCCACTGCTGGGCGACAGCTGGATGCTCCCAGCACCGATACAGATTTTCAGAGCTTATCTACTACCTCACTGATTCCTAGGAGAGGGTTAGGGTTACATTGTATATGAGAGGTTTGCTTCTAAGTTCATTTTGTAAAGCAGAAATGCAGTCGAGTCATTCTAAGGAAGGCACCACACTGGTGAGATTGCCAGAACATCTCAGTCCAAGGCAGCCGATGTCTAAATCGATCACTGCTTTTTTGGCTGAGCACCAGAAGAAAAGATTGGATTGCATTTAGAGACCAGATTTTGTAAGAAACACTTTAAATTGAAATGTCTGAAGTTGACTTTTGAGGAGCTGTAAAAAAAAATAAAGTAGAATTGGACAAGGGATCCAAAGCCTGACAGCAAAGGGGTACAAGGATATCGGGTCTCAGATCCACCTCTGCCGCAGTGTTGTACTCTGGGGCAATTCTTCATCTTTTCTTCTTCTACTAATCAACCCTAATGGCAATTCTCATTAACATCTTCAGTGATCTCAAGGCTCTGAGAAGTGTACAAAAAAGTTTAGGCTTTTAATTTCCCTGCAACTTAAAAACAGTATGTTTTCAGCTCCTAGTTGCTTCTAAATAGAGTTGGTGACATCCCCCAAACCTTGAGGGTTGAATATGGAGAAAACTGGAGATAAAAACTGTAGGCTGATGACAAAACAGCATTCTCATCATAGGTCATCTAACACTCAACAAAAGTGGTACCAACAACCAAGATAGTTGCCCTCTCTGGGGTCTGGGTCTCCCTGCCTAATGTCATCCTTGCAGTGCTGGTGCCAGGTGTTACTGTGGGGTGGAAACTGCACTAAGACAGTTGGGAGAACTGAGCCCTGGGGAGAGGGTGGTATAGGAATGGGTGTAGGCTCTGGGTTTGGAATGCCCAGGCTCTGACCTCATCTCTACCACTCAGTGGCTAGTTACCTAAACTCTTTGAGACTCATTTCCCCAACTGCTAAATGGGATGGTCAAATGACATCCTTCATGTAAAGAACTCAGAGTTCTAAAAACCAACAATAAATGCTTCAATATTATCACCAGTCACTGCTCCATAACAAGCTGAGTGGTGCAGGGCAAGTCAGCTTACTATTCTGAGCCTCAGTTCATTCATTTACCTGTGAAATGTGGTGACTGGGTGATGGCTGAAGTCTCACCCAACTCTGAAATTTTAAGGAACTACACATGCCAGTGTTAGTCACTTAGAACTGTGTTGTGGGATATGTCCCTCGCCTTGCTGACAACTGGGAAGCACCATGTGCTGCCTGAGTTGGCACAGCAAAGCGATGGAATGGATTCCTTTCCTGGGACATGTGGCTTGCCAAAATGGGAGCTTCTAACCCAACCGGTTTTGTATGGATAAAGAAAGTGTGAGTTATTCCTTCAGTGCCAGCCACAAGAGCATCTCCACAAATGCTGAAGCCCACTCAAGAGACAGGAGGCCTTTATTATCAGAGAAAATGAGCCCCCAGCAGGAGACAAATCAGAGCCTCTTGCAGCCCTGAGAGTCTGTCCTTTCCCAAGCCTCTCCCATACTGACCTAGCAGGGCATATGGGTCCTTCATGATAGTTAAGTGGAGTCACACAGACGCTCCACTCTGTGCAAGAGTTAAGTGGAAACAGAAACAGGAGCCTGAGATCAGAATTTTTCCTCTGGACAAAAGATCTTCCACTTCATCATGATATTTTATAAGTACTCTAAAAACTTGTTCTTGTTTTCACCACTATATAAGATAAATATACCTAATAAAAATATCCTTAATAGAGATTTTAAGAACATTTTTCTCCTCTTAAAGGCGGGATCACAGGGCTGCAAAGGGAAGTCCCTCTTCCTGTCCTGGCTGAACCACATACCGCCACTTGAGTCCTACATAAGGCGTGACACTGCAGAGGGCAAGAAGAGCGAGCCTCCCACTAATGCAAAGTGGGAAGGAGAGAAGGATATCCAAACCAAATTGGCATAAACAGCCCCCAGGGTTCAACAGCACTGGTATCTGTTTGGCCACCATGGAAAACGACTTTAACTCCAGAGGCAGCCATCAACTACTCAGACATGAGGGGCAAATAAAACCCCTTCTGGCACTAACTGTCTTCTGTGAGTTAAAACTGCCCTATGCAGAGAAACTCAACAAGGTAGAGATGTCAGGAAGCAGACAGCCAGGAATACCCCTCTCCTCACTCTCCTCTAATCCCCTGCCCCCAACACAAAAAGACCCAGCCCAGACAAAGAGGAAGACAGTGTTCCACACTGCAGTTACACACCTCTCAGCAGCAGCTCAGCTGTGGCATGTACAAAAAGGGGGCCAGAGGACAACCTGAGCTAGACCACATGATTAGTCAAGAAGGCTCCAACAGTATTACAAAACATCTTCCCTTTGGCTGAAGAGACATGAAGAATATAACCTTTTAGACTGCTGAAGCAACATACGGTCAACAGTCACGTTCACAGAAGGAACAGGATTCTGGAGCCTGTGGTTTTGAACCAGCATCAGAAAGAGCTGACTTATGCACAAGACAAGAGAAAAGCACTGAAAAGAACATACACACATTTAGGAAATACGCTGGCCATTTACAGTTCCTGTGCTGGGAGCTCTTGCTCATATTTTATTGTGATCAGAGCTGTTCACACCTACCATGCTACTTTTAAATGTCTATAACAATGCCTTTAAAATTCACGAGTCTTGGACAGAATACAACTTTTGACTTAGTGGAGGTATACATTTAAAAACCACAAAAGCAAGGGAAACAACCTCCATGTCCAACATTAAAGGAGTACCTTCATGAATATGATCCACCAATACAGGGGAATACCATGAGGTCACAAAAATATGAGGGAAAGATCTGAATATTTGTGACATAAAAGTAAATAAAATGTGAAAGACAAAGTTATGTGTAAACTACAATTGCAACTGTTTTTACAATGCAACCATGAGGATTAAGACACAGAAGACACAATGAAAAAAATTATTTTGTTAAATTGGTGGAATATTGGCATTTCTTCTTTTATTTCCAAGTGTTTTTACATTGACTTTCTTTTTTTAGAGTAATATTTTTGTAGAAACTTAAAATTAAGCTCAAAGCAGCTATACAGAATCACAGAATTTTGGAGCTGAGAGAAGCCTTGGATATCAGACATCTTTCGTATCTTACAGTTACCCCGAGACCTTGTGAGAGGGTTCCTGGGGGACCCAGGGTTGCACAGCTAATTAACCATTCTGCTCTTCACTGTAGCTACAAGACTAAAAGATGTAAAAGGCTCGAAGGTACTAAGAAGCTACTGTTTGGACCTGGAAGCTTCACCCTCTAAAAATCTGACTGCTTGGAATGTTTTGAAGCTCTGCATTCCAGTCTCAACAGGCTTCTTGAATGATGCAATTTTATGTAATTATATCTTCAAAATTAGGTTTCTGAAATTTTCATAGCAAACTGAAGTTAAATGTTTCACACAGCAAATGCCACGGAGAATTAGTAGGAATCACTGAAGGATGGGTGATTGCTCCAAAAAAATGTGAAAAGCCGTTGATCCTACAACTCCAGACTCTGCCAGGTGGAGCCAACCTCTTCCATACAAGGTATTGATATAAGGTAACCTGCTAAGACTGCATTTCCAAAAATGTGGGCTGGCAGTAGACACTGTCCGATATGAAATCATAACACGATGAATACTATTCTATGAAATACTTGTTTTCACTGCCCGTCTTTTCCAACAGTTTGAAACTAAGCATCTACAAAGTCTGTATCAGCCATAGTAATCTTTGGAGGATGCGGGAGAGCAGGGAGAAAGCTGAATTCTAAGAGGGGGATAAAAAATGAAGCTATACCAAATTCCTCCTGTTCCCCTTGGAAGGTAAAGAGGAGGAGGAAAAGTTGGGGAAAAGATAGGAAAACACCAGAAATAGCAATAAAAGAAGCTGCTCACAAAATTTATGAGTATAAGTGAAAAAAAATCAATTACGTTAAAGATGTAAAATCACATCTGAAAGAACAGAGGTGAGAACAAAACGAACTTGCATAAATACATTTAAGTTGCTGCTACCATGAAAGGCCTCTACTGAGTCCCACAGTTACTTCAAAGTCTCCACGGAAGGTGAGAGAGGCGAGTGCTGTCAAAAGGGAGCTGCCTTTTTGAACAGGATGACAAGGCAGGGCTAAGTCACAATAGATCACAGAAGGGAAAAACAAAGGCACACACTTGAAGATCAAAAGCAGCCATGTCTTCTGAGTGTCATGCTGCAGAAGGGAGATGAGACTCATAGACAGGGCCAGGAAAAGTGAAGCAAAAACCCAGAGGCATCTAAGGATAGCATGAGGTCTGCGAATCAGAGACTGCTGTCTCCTGCAGGGCGCTGCAGAAATAAGCCTGGCAGGAAGCATGACATATGCTACAGGGAGGCTGAGCCAGGCTGGAGGGGAAAATGGAGCAAGGGAGAGGAGTCAGGCTCCCAGTCACTGCCCCAGCTCGATAGGAAGGGAGGAGGAGCAGATTAGTCAGGACAGAGCATTTTACCTAGGGAGATCTACTTTTTCTGGAGGGAACACTTTGGAAAAAAGCAAATTTAACTAACCACATTCTTTCTTCCAGTACCCTTTGGATTTAAGAATTGGACCCTCAGAGTTTCCATTATAAATACTGTACACATGAAAGCTGTCTCCTCAGCACTTAGAGCTAATCCATCCGTGGTGGAAACATACACTTCGGAATGAAAGCATGGAGAGTTACTGGTACAGACAGGATTAAAATCTGGAGTCCACGTATCCCATCTTACCAGCACACATTAAGGCAATCTCCTAGAAAAGCAGGATACATCATGTTCCTTCTTTTTCAGTGGCTGTGGGAACAGCATCTGCTTTCAACAGCCTTGGGCCCTGGATTAGCTGCTGTGTGGGCTGTTCCTATAGGCTGGTCTAGGAAAGGGCTTGAAGGACTGACTCAGCGCAAATGCTAGACAACATTCCCAGCTTTCATCCTTAAAACATTCAACCCTAATGAGAATTTAAAAATCATATGGATCTATCTTTATTTCAAAGACAGAGGCTCAGACTGAATAATTTAAGAAAATCCTCAGGGAAGTCTCAATATAATAAGCAAAGAGAGTCTTGTTCCAAAAGAATAAAACCTAAAAAAGAAAAAAAAAGAAAAGCCACATAGAGCCAAAAAGAGAAATCTATGCTTTCAGCATTTCGATTTGGAAAACAATTGCAAATCTCCTAGAAATTTAAATTAGCTCTGAAAGACCGACTTGTTCAGGGGTTCTCTAGTCTACCAACTCACAGAAGCTACAAAAAAATAATTTACTTTTATTTTTGAAATGTCACCAGTTTTCAACCATAGCAAACAGAAGGATACCCTGTCTTTTAACTTAACACTCTTTGGCACGGGGTTGGGAAAAGAAGAATAAAACACAAGCGATCAGTCAAACGCCTAGGTTAATCAACAGAAATGTTCTGAAACATATTTAGTAAGACTGACATCAAAAACTCTCTAGAATAGTGTCATACAGGCTCTAAAGGAAATCTCAGGAGTAACTTGTCACACTGGAGAAACTATTTGAAAACGCAAATAAGTACACTTTATCAAAGTAACTTATACTCATTACAGATGTGGGTTAAATGGCTTTCAGACCTTTACCTTATTTAATATGGGATAGTAATTGTATGCCTTCCTCTGAATGATAACCATCTCCACAGCACTTCATACTCTATCTATAAATAAACCACTGTCCTCATTCCCATGTTCTTTATGGTACATATATAATTAATTCACTTCCCTATCTGGAGGTGCCTCAACTCTGCAAGTGAGGCCATGGGTCAGGTCTTCTGCTCACAAACATAGGCAGCTTCACTACAACACATCCTGTCTTTTCTCATGCAAGCCCTGGAGACTGGGTGCCCTTTAGGGAAAAATAAGCAAGGTAATTATCACCTTCTACTCACATGTCAGGCAGACCAGCACTGTGCGCACAAACAGGTCCACCACTAACTCGCAGTGCTCTGGCGCTCGGGACACAAAAAAGGGGATGATGATCTCAGCCGGGACATAGAACTGGAGCGCGTAGGTGAAAAAGATCCCAATGGAGTACAGCAGCTTAACCGACTGGTACAACCTGCCCAGACAGACAGGAGACATTCAAAGCCTGCTCAGCACACTTGTACATAATCAGCGAGAGTGCAAAATGGTCCCACTGCAATCTGTTGACACTTATTAAGGCTATAACCCACATGTCCTTTGGACCCAGCAATCTCAACTTCATCTCACAGATATCCTCGCACAAGTACACAAAAGCTTACGTTCAAAATATCTAACTGCAGCATTATTTAAGAAGGAAAGACTGAAAACAATTTAAATATTAACCAGTAGGAACTGGTCAGATAAATCATGGTGCCCCCATATAGCTCTTAACAAAGTATGAGGCAGAACTCTAGGTGTGATATAAAACTATCCCCATGATATATCACTATATCACTTGATATAGTATATCACCATCATGCGGATGGTTTTATGTCACTTTTTTTTTAAAGTGAAAAAAAGCATGAAGTAATACAGTATCTACAGAGTGCTACAATTTGTCTTAAAAAAAGGAAAAAGAGGAGAACAAACACTCTTACCCCACAGGACAATCTTACATACACTAAATAGCTCAGAAAAAACATAAGAAACTGGGAATATTGTTGCCTCTGAAATGAGAAATTGTAAAATTGGGAACTAGAGTGGAGGGTGAGGGGTGGAAACTTAATGTTCTCTGTATACGTTTTGAAAATCTGAATCTTTGCCATGGTCATATGGGTGTACAAAAACAGGGCCAGGCACGGTGGCTCAAGCCTGTAATCCCAGCACTTTGGGAGGTCGAGGAGGGTGGATCATGAGGTCAAGAGATCGAGACCATCCTGGTCAACATGGTGAAGCCCTGTCTCTACTAAAAATACAAAAAATTAGCTAGGCATGGTGGCGCGTGCCTGTAATCCCAGCTACTCAGGAGGCTGAGGTAGGAGAATTGCCTGAACCCAGGAGGCGGAGGTTGGGGTGAGCCGAGATCGTGCCACTGCACTCCAGCCTGGGTAACAAGAGCGAAACTCCGTCTCAAAAAAACAAAACAAAACAAAACAAAAACAAAAACAAGAAATGCAATTAAAATGTAACAAGCCTATTTATATCGGTCTCACCCAAGTCAGTGTCCATAGAATTAGATGAAGACCTTGCAGGACCAAGAGGCAGGAGCAAGAATTCCATCTTTCCATACCACTATGGCTACCTTCCTACTACTGCTTCATGTGTAGCTTCCAAAAAAGACGTAACTTACCACAGGATATCTCTATTTTATCACTCCAATACTCTGACTGAACAGAGCAGAAAAAAAGTCTGTGATCAACTTACAGAATTGACTTGGTCACTGAAAGGAAAGGTCTCTGTCCCTAAGCAAAGCTCCACTTTAAACCAGACCCTCATGTGTTAAGCAGCAAGAAACATTTGTCCTCGCTTGCTGGAAATCTATTTAAATGTGGTAATGCAGAATGTGTATATGTGCACTGAGTTTCTCTGTGGTTGAACTAAAAACCTAGAAGTTGTTCTTATGCTATAAGCACGAGAACAACTTTGTAAATACTGAGTTTGGAAAAAGGTCATACTTGCTCCATGAATAGATAATAAAAACTCTTTGGAAAAATCATCCGGTGGCTCTATCACTAAACTCAAAGCAGCCCCAAAGCCTCTGGAGAGCCATGAAGTCTGGACTCAGGAGAGTGACACCTGCAGGGACAGTCAAATAAATTATACTCAAATAGAAGGAGAAAGTGTAGAGCAGCTGGGTTTGGGGTGTTGGAAAGAAGACAGATGCTCCTCTACGGCTCCAGATCATGTGGGCTGCTTCTGTTGCTCCTGATCCCTTTCTCTTCCAGGGAAAGGTGACACAGTTCCAAGAAGCTACCACCTGCCTCTTCCTTCTTAGAAGGGCAGAAACATTTGGAAATTTAAAAGTAGGCACCGGATGGATATGCCAATTACCCTGATTTGATAATTACACATTATAATATGTCTGTCACACACACCACATACCTATATATGATTAGTATGCCTCACGAGTTAAAACGGACTTAAACATAATTTCAAAAAATAAAAAGCAAATCTAGGTCTATAGCCACACCATTCTGAATCTTAGAAGGTAATCCCATCTGATCATGGAAGATAAGCAGGGTCAAGCCTAGTTCATACTTGAATGGGAAACCCCCTGGAAATACTGAGTGCTGTTGGCTTAAAAAACGTAATAAAATAAGCAATCTAAAACAAAATAAAAAGCACACCCAGGCAGATCAGCCAGCCTAGACTAAAAGGTGATTCTGGGGTGTTCAACAAGCTTCTCAGTGTCTGCTAACAGCTGCTTTCCACAATGACATGATTAATCTTCAAAACAGGATGGTTGCTTAGTGCAGGCCCTGGGACACCTACCTTTTTAGGAAGCATTTCAATATGGCTCACTCTTTCTCTATAATACATTCAGCAATGGAAGAGAGGTAAGAAAGGACTCCCAACAATCCCCAGCCCACAGTGAGATGCTCCCACCTGCGTATCGAACCTGTGACTACAAAGGGAGAGGAACAACAGATGCTGGGAACCAAATCCAGGTTTGCCCACCCATCTCCCTGTCCATTTGGAATGGTTTACAATGAATGGACTAGATACTCAGTCCTTCTGGGCTTAGGAATTCCAAGGAGAAATGGCTTATCCATCGGCTGATCAGCCAATGGCTTCAGCAGAAGGCTCTGCATGAATTACCCAAACAGAATGAAGTCCAGCACAGCCAGTGAGGGCTGGTGGTGGCAGGGGATGGTGGGCTAGAGTGAAGTTTAAGGGACAAGTAAGAGGAAGAATCCACACTCTGCCCCTTTAGTTTTTTAAATATCCAGGACTCCTAGGTTTTCATCCTCCCCACATACCAGCAGTTGGGCAGGTTGAGGGTTATGCTGCCTTGGATATTAGCTCCAAATTGCAGGTACCCCAGACACCCCAGGCTGAGGTAGAGGATGGTGACGATGGCCATGCCCAGGTATAGGATGAGTGGGAACTTTTGAGGGTCCTTCATTTTGTTTTCCAGGGGCAGAACCTATGAGAGAGTAGTGACAGAGAAGCAGAAAAAAGCAAAGTTAATGGCCAAGAAAAAAAAAATCCTCAGAAAAAAAGCAACTCTTTTATTTCCAGAATTCTCCAGAAGCACATCTGCTCTATAAATAAAGTTATTTCATCAGACATTATACTCTTGGGACTAGAAGGGACTCATAGCTCCCTTCCTAGCCTGGAAGTCCTAAAAGTAAGGGCGGGCAGGGCAAGTGCCCAGGACTCCTGGCTCAAGCCAGTGCTCTGTTCTGCTCCAGCATCCCTGCAGGCTGAGAATGTCCCTTGCCCTATGAGTTAGGCCACATGGCAACCAGAAGGCCCTCTCACATCATGCCCACCTGGCATCTAACCTGAGATTATAGCTTCCTGCTAACCTGTCTAAATAATGCAAAATATAGGTCAGGGAATACTGCCACTCTAGCTCAATAGGGGCAAGCATGAGCAGTGACAAGTTAAACCTTCACGTTAGAGACACTGCAGTGCGATAAAAGAGGATCTTAAGACTTGGGTACTTAACAATGCCCAGTTTCCAGACTCGTCTTAAAAACCACTGACCTTTGCTGCCTCCTTCATCATAACACAAGATGTTCTTTAACTTTTGGAGAAGCAAAGGTAAGATACGTTATGAAAATGAGTTTATTTAGGAATTGGGAAAACAGCAGGTATGACTGTGAGGATCTTCACAGTGTGCCATCAACTGGATCTGGCACAGCTAATAAGGAAGAGGAGCACTGGGCAATGTCTAGCTGTACCACAAACTCTGATCCTGTCATTACACTTATTTTCCTGCAGTGCCTGTGGCAACGAGGCACGATAGGTCTGTGCTGCACACATTAACACCACAATCCTGCTGCAGGCCTGGTGTTCCCAGGGGCCCCGAGTGTCTCCCACCACCTGCTCCAGCTTCAGTTAATCCACATCCATTAGAAACAGCTTCTAAATGTATCTGTCAGTTTCCTTCATACCAAAAGTACAAAGAGCCAGAGGGAAGGGAGCCCATCTCCTCCATGTCCTATCGGGCCTGTGACAGCTGCATGAATATAGAGTACATGGTGAATACACAGTGTGCAGCTGGCACTTCACCTGGATGCAATGAACAAGCCCTAGATCCAAAACTAAGAGTCAATCTAGCAGTGTTCTCTTTAAAAAGTAGAAATACAAAGAAATCTTGATAATGTTTGCAGAATAACTTTGTGTACAACTCTTGGCTAATGAAACCAAGCAAACAACTTCTGCACTGTGCTGTTTGGGGAAGCTGTAAAAACTGAGTACAAGATCCCTTAGGAACCCAAAGTCTCTAAGCATCTTTCCACACTTTCTCATACTCTTCTTTCAATTTCTGAGATCTTGGGATCTCTTTCTCACTGCTGAAATATAGGCCCACTCAGGCCTCGTCCACAGCAGCAGGAAACCATTTGTGGTTCTGAATTAAAGAAAGACAGTCTTCATGGGCAATGAGAGACCCCAAGAAAGAATACAGGGCAAGGTATAAAACCTCAGGGAGATCAGTGATTTACATGTGATCACTCCCAAAGCTTCCCCCATGATGTCAGAGCCTCAGTGTGTTTCATCAGCACTGCCTGGGTGATTCCTCATGATGTTGACAAAACAATCTGTACAGCTTCTAGGTTTTCTTAAAAGTAGATAAAGTGTCTGGGAAGTCAAAAAAGAGAAAGAAGTGCCATGACAGGAGGAGTCTTCCCATTTGCAGGGCCCTTGGGCAGGAATGAAAAACTTTCTTCAGAGAAGGGTTCTGTACCATTATTATGAAAAATACAAATAAAATTCAAATTATGTAAGATGGAGGAGTAGATGCCTCTTTAGGAAAAGCATTTGGTGAAATCACAGGATGCTGAGCCCAGAGTGAAGGCTTTTCTTTTACATGCAGAAAATACATCAAACCAACGTTTTAGGGCAGAGAAATTATTCATACATTTATTGGTTCAATAATAAAGTCAATAATATTATTAATAAAATAAAAATCTATTAAATATTTACCATGTGTCAGGGTCTGCACAAAGCACTTTGCACATATCTCATTTAATCCTAACAACCATGAATCATTAAGTTCACTTTTCAGGAACAATGAAGGCTCAAAGAGGTGAAGCCCTTGCTCAAGGTCACACAGCTACTCTATGGCAGAGCCAGGACTTACCCCAAGTTACTCTGACTCTAGACCCTGCCTTGCTGATTGCCATGTACTATTGCTTACTGCACACCTAGGAGATGAGTGTGCAATGAAGGGGCCTTGAAGGTAATCATTTAAAAATTATATGTAATTTGTCTTGAAAAGTTGGAGCTGGGAAATCTCAATGGAATCCCTGAAACACTATTCACTAAGTAACCAGTAAGTCAGAGAAGATAATTTCTTTCTTTCTTTCTTTCTTTTTTTTTTTTTTTTTTTTGACACAGAGTCTCACTCTGTCATCCAGGCTGGAGTGCAGTGGCATGATCTTGGCTCACTACAACCTCCGCCTCCCGGGTTCAAGTGATTTGCCTGCCTCAGCCTCTTGAGTGGCTTGGATTACAGGTGCCTGCCACCATGCCCGGCTGATTTTTGTATATTTGGTAGAGATGGGATTTCACCATGTTAGCCAGACTGGTCTTGAACTCCTGACCTCAAGGGATCCACTAGCCTCAGCCTCCCAAAGTGCTGAGATCACAGGTGTGAGCTACCATGCCCAGCCTCAGAAGATCATTTCTACCAATGTTTCCTCAGCATTCGTTGAAACAGACCTGGAGGACACCAAGGGCACTAGAGAACACCGGCCCAAATCACAGTGCAGCTCTTACCATTCCAATGCCTTCGAATGCAAAAATTGCTGTGCCAAAGAAGAGAGGGTAGGTCTTCCAGGGGGCCACCAAGGGGAGGTTGCTGGGGTCTGGGATCCTCTGAAAGAGAGAAAGCAAAACAAAGCAAATGATTATACAGAAATTCGAGATTTGGACTCTGAATCTGAGAGGTCATACTTTTGAACAAATCCAAGATTCTCTTAAGGAAGAAAGCCTAATACCTGACAGATGATTTAGGGACATTTAACCTTTGTATGTTTTTCTCTTCAGAAAACCCCATTTGTTTGAGGGAAAGATAAGCCCAAGATACTATTAAAAACTCAAATGCTGGGGCTTGCATAGAAAGAGTCACATTCTTTCACTAGGTAATCCCATCCCCAGAAAATGAATGCAAGTAGAAAAAGAGGAAAAAGATGAAAAATACCGAGCAAAGCTATTTAATAAAGAAACTGAAAACAATATAAATGTTCCCAAACAAGGGATCAGTTGAGTAATTAACAACATACCAGCTAAACCACAGAATATACACACTATTTATTTATTTATTCATTTATTTATGAATTTATTTATTTAGAGACAGTCTCCTTCTGTTGTGCAGGCTGGAGTGCAGTGGTGAGATCTTGGCTCATTGCAACCTCTGCCTCCTGGGTTCAAGCAATTCTTAGTGCTTCAGCCTCCTGAGTGACTAGGACTACAGGTGCACGCCACCACAGCTGGCTAATTTTTGTATATTTTTGGTAGAGACAGGGTTTCACATGTTGGTCAAGCTATCTGTGAACTCTTGATCTCAAGTGATCCGTCTGCCTCAGCCTCCCAAATGCTGGGATTACAGGCGTGAGCCACCACACCTGGCCAGTATGCACTATTAAAAAGTACAAATTGAGATAACTAGGTAGAATATGAAAATCTACTTATGAAATATTAGTGAGGAAAAATTTTTAATTTTAATTTATATATTCACTCTGATACAACTACATAAACACCAAAGGTAAAGCTGGAAGGGAAGAGAAAGTAGTATTTTAGATTGGTTATCTTCCTTTTTCCTCTTCTTTTCTTCTTCTTTCCTTTTTCCTCTTCTTTTCTTCTCCTTTTTAAAATTTTTAACAGTGAGCTTGAGCACTTTGAAAGTATTACCAAGAAGCACACAACAGAAGTGTTGCGACATGTGGAGAGAAACAGCAAAAAGAATGTTTTCAAAAATAGGCCCCAAAAACGGTAATTGTTAACTGCAGGTACAATGCTAATGTTGTATAAGAAGTAGGTTGTGTCAACTTGACTGGATTGAGGAATGCAAAGTATTGTTCCTGGTGTGTTTATGAGGGTGTTGCTAAAGGAGATTAACATTTGAGTCAGTGGACTGGGAAAGGCAGACCCACCCTTAATCAGCTGCCAGCTCAGCCAATGGCCAGATTAAAAAGCAGGCAGAAGAAGAACGTGAAAAGGCTACACTGGCTTAGCCTCCCAGCCTACATCTTTCTCCTGTGCTGGATGCTTCCTGCCCTTGAACATTGGACTCCAAGTTCTTCAGCTTTGGGACTCAGACTGGCTTCCTTGCTCCTCAGCTTGCACATGGCCTATTGTGGGACCTTGTGATCATGTGAGTTAATACTCCAATAAATTTCCCTGTATATGTACGTATACCCTATTAGTTCTGTCCCTCTAGAGAACCCTGACTAATAAAAGTATAGTCACAAAATCCTCCACCAAACAACAGTCTCCAGTACCAGACTATGTGGAAGGAGCAGGGTGGGGAGGGGGGATTCAAAGCTGCTGCCTTTTTAAAATTTGGCTTTTTAAACCACATGCATACATTGCTTCGATTAAAATAAAAATTGATGTTAAAACAGCCTTTTACAATGTTTTAAAATTGATTTGACTATACGGATTTTAGATAATATGAGGCATGCTCTCAACGGGTTTCAGAGTGATTTCAGGCAAGTAAAAGGAGGTCCATTATTAATCTCTGTAACAGACTTCTCTTCAAAGCAGCAATACTGCTTTTGAAAAAATAAAAAATTAAATAAATACATTTCCCTGGGCCCCTGCTAAGAAATCCGTTAGAGCTCTTTGTAAGAGGCATTTCAATAGACTAATAGGTATTTTTGCTCTACAATGGAACTTGAGAGCAAGATTGCCCTGTAATTATTCCTGAGTCACAAATGTAACATAAGTTATTGGAAATAGGTGCTACCTGTTGGTTAGTGAATGACTCCTGCTCTTATTCACACATCAGAGCAGATTCAAGCATTAGACAGGGAATTTCACAATCCATGTCTTGGGATATTGTGGGAATGAGGCCAGCAGGAGTATATTATTCTACATACTTACTGATTGCTATTGACCTGACCAACTAAATGATAAAGGTTTAATTTATAAAGAAACATACATGTTTTTAAAAATCAGCTCATTATCAACATATCTCCTCAATTCTACAACACAGTAAGTCCTCCCTTGCCATCAATAGATTCTTGGAAACTAAGACTTTAAGTGAAATAAGGTACAGTCATTTCCTTCAATGTTGTCTTGTTATAACATTGATGAAGAAAAAAACTGATTTCGCTATACATCATTTCATGTAGCTGCAGTTTCTAAAAACTAGTATCAATGATGTTAAGTGAGGTCTTACCATATTATCAATTACAATAATAATATTTTTTGAGAAAATGCTGTTAAATGTACACATGGATTATGACATGTACTCTTTCAATTCTGAAACTGTTATAACTAGGAAAAAATACCTATCAGAAGCAAGGCTATGCAGTGCTAAAACATTTATTGGGAGCCCCCTCTGTGTAAGGCATTCTGCCCAGAATTATTCCATTTGACTCTCCCCATGCTGAAGACAGAGGGATGGAAGACTGTGGTCTGCTACCTACAATGGCATGTGCATGAGGGACAAGAGGAGCAGTCAAGTACATGCTTAGGATGTGGGAAAAAATTCAGAAACACCCAACAGTAGAGGAATCCTCATAGTAAGTGGGGCAAAATGCCAAAACAGAACAGTAGTAACAAGCAGCAGAGGCAGAAGCAACAAAAATGACCTAGAGAGAGCATCTTTAGCCGTAGGGCACATCAAAATGAAGCACTGACAACACTATGGGCAGTCACCACGCCAAAACACAGCCAAACCTTCTCCCCCATACCGCACTCTGGGCAGATGGCACTACTTGATCACAGCACAACTTCTGGCTAAACCCAGAGGAAGACCTGGAGTTGTTCTCAAGAAATCAGCAGGGCTGCTTCTTTGAAGACATTGCTCTGTGTGCTGATTGTACTATGCACAGACATCACTCTGGAAGGATACTACCAGTTGGTTGGGACTGAGACGCTGCAAAAACCCAAATTCTTATCCCAGCCCTATGACCATAGAAACTACCACAGCCCAACTACCTGCAATGACTTAAAACTAAATGCAGCAGGTGTGCCTGTTTATGGGGGGTGGCCTCACTCAATTCATCTCTAATGTCTACAGGAGTGTATCCTAGGTGCACTTGAGAGCTCTAATTACAATGTGAAATAATGGGTAAATATTTACCCTTCCTTTTTGGTAATGGAAATGGTCTAGCATAAATTCACAGGCCCTCCCTTCCAGTCTCATAAAAAAATGAACGTGAAGAACTATTTTATTTATTTATTTGACGGAGTCTTACTCTGTCGCCCAGGCTGGAGTGCAGTGGCATGATCTCGGCTAACTGCAAACTCTACCTCCTGGGTTCAACCAATTCTCCTGCCTTAGCCTCCTGAGTAGCTGGGGTTACAGGTGTGCACCACCATGCCCAGCTAATTTTTGTATTTTTAATAGAGATGGAGTTTCACCATATTGGTCAAGTTGGTCTCAAACTCCTGACCTCATGATCTGCCTACCTTGGCCTCCCAAAGTCCTGGGATTACAGGCATGAGCCACCGTGCCCAGCCAGAATTATTTATTTTATGTTTAAAAAAATAGTTCTGCAGAAGATTCAATATCTGCCACTTATCTGACTTACCGTGATAAAAACCAGTCAATACCCACAGAGGACAATGCTAATCTAAACTGATAATGTCATTTGCTTAGCACAAGAAGTCCTGCATTTTATGAGCCACTGTTTTCCTGGAAACTACATCAGTGTAGGTCACTGTTAAGCAGACTGTATGAAAATGAGATAATATTTGCCTGTTAGACTGACTGAAATGAAAAAGACTGACACATCCAGTATTGGTAAGGGTGGAAAAATGGGCACTTAAATACTGTGGAAGGACAACTCTATGAAATTAGGAAACAGCTTTTACAAAAAACAACTTGGTAACATAAAAAAATTCAAAAGTGCACATTCTTCAGCAATTACACATCTAGATAAATATCTTTAAAAAGTATTTATACAGGCCCACAAAAAGGAATGTATAAGAACATCTCACTGTCTTCATACTGAAATAATACTAAAAATTATCAATGACCTGATAGTCACTGAGTCGGGGCTGGTAAATAAAGGGCAACAAATCTCTTCTCTGTGATACAATGTGACAACTAACAACAAGGTAGAGCTGGGAATATTAACCTTAACCTGGAAGGCTGGCTAAGGCATTTTTAAGGGTAGGGGAAGAAGCAAGGTAGTTGAACATGTAACTTGTTAAAAAATTATGTTTCAAAAATAAAAACAAAATATCTTTTAACATATTTCTCCATATACTTGCTGAGGGTGCAAGTACATTCACACCATCTAGAATGAGACAGAGCAGTCTCACAGAATGGGTCCCTAAGAGGAGACTCAGGGTGGGGACTTGGTATTCAAGAGGTGTTTGTGTTGTCTGTGATTTAATGAATATGTACTGATGAATTATTTGGGGAATTGAATTAAAAGATCTTTTTTAAAGGCACGCTTTTATTTACCTGCCTTTACTTCTATTCCTTTTCTCAAGCCTTAGAAAATCCACTGTCATTTTCACAAACAGCCATAGTGTTTAAGGGCATATTCTTCTCAGACTGATCTTCTACCCATCTGTATACACATGTTCTCTCTCGTGCCACCCCACAGACCTGTCTGCATGGGCTGAGTGAGGACAGGGAACAAGTGGATTTATAATTTTGACAAATACAAATTAACTGGAGTTGATAAGGAATTACTTATCTAAATACGGGTTAGAAAATTTAGTTTTTATTTTAATCTTAATATTTTTCTCTATTTTCCAATTGTATACAACGATGATGAATTAACCACGGAATTGAAGAAGGTCTAAACCAGTGATCCCTGTGGGGGCCGATTTTACCCCCAGGGAGGTCTGGCAATGTTAGGAGACATTATTGGTTGTCATCACTTGTGGAGGGGTTCCTACTGGCACCCACTGAGTAGAGACCAGAAATGCTGCAAAATATCCTACAATGCACAGGACAGCCCTACGGCAAAGAATTATCCACCCCAAAATGTCAACAGTGCCCATGATAAGAACCTCTAACCTAAACATACCAGCAGTAACATATAATTATTTACATTCCACTTACTTGTTTTATATATATATATATATTATTTATTTATTTATTTATTTTTTTTGAGACAGAGGCTTGCTCTGTTGCCCAGGCTGTAGTGCAGTAGGGTGATCTCAGCTCACTGCAACCTCTCCCTCCCGAGTTCAAGCGATTCTCCTGCTTCAGCCTCCCGAATAGCTGAGATTACAGGTGCACGCCACCACATATAATTTTTGTATTTCTAGTAGTAGAGACAGGTTTCCCCGTGATGGCCAGGCTGGTCTCGAACTCCTGACCTCAGGTGATCCACCCACCCCAATCTCCCAAAGTGCTGGGATTACAGGCATGAGCCACTGCACCTAGCCTTTTTTTTTAAATATTGAAGCAAGACAATAGGGGAGGGCCTAGGCATGTACCTGAACAATGAACTGGTAGATCATGATCAAGCTGACCAGCATGGTGATATTGGCCAACAGGGAGAAGACTGACAGGGCTCGGAGGCTCCTGACGAAAACCAGCAGCACCAGGAAGGGCAGGAAAGAGAGCATGTAGAGTCGCGAGTCCATGGTGGGGGTCAGAATCACCGTCTCATTGTTGTGGCAGTTATTGGTAGTCCCATTGGCCGCTTCTACCACCTAGAATGAAGGGAAGGAGGAAAATGGGAACGCTTCTCAAACAACAAAGGCCGGTGGATCCGCTGCTGGGAGAGGTTCCTGAGGAAAGGCTCGGGTGTGAACAGGGCCTTTTAGAATCTGTGTCCAGTGAGCTTTCTTTAGAGATCTTCATGACTATCATCAGCAACCCAATTGTCTGAGCTAGGTTTGAACACAGGTACCTAGGACAGGAGGATGGACAAGACATGTGGATGTTTCTCTATGCCCTAGCTCTTTTCCGTGAGAATCAAACAGAAGATGAGGTTCTATGTAAAGTGCTAAAACTTTAACTTTTTTGTTGACAAAAGCTGGTGTGGAAAAAATCCTAAACAAAAATTTCAATCATCTTTTGCCATTCTCTCTCCCATTTTTTCTTTTAAACCAGGTGCCTACCTGTTTAAAGTTCTCAGCCAGAAACACAAAATAGACACAGCAAAATCCCAGCTGAGTGACAATCAGGAAGAAGTCCACAACATGTCTGGAGATGGGGAGGGAAGGAATACAAAGACTGTTACAATACAAATGCAAGACTCCCAGAAGGGGAGGTGTTTTTTTGTTTGTTCTTGTTTTTTTTTTTTTTAAATAGATTTAGGGGGTACAAGTGCTGTTTTGTGAAATGGATATATTGCATAGTGATATGATATAGTCTGGGCTTTTAGTGTAACCACCACCCAAACAGTGTACACTGTACCCATTGTTTTTTTAACAGTGCTTTCCCCAAGCCATCACAGACCCTTCCCAGCAGGTGACAAGGATGAGCATGGCTTGGTAGGAGAAGAATCCATGCTAGGTGCCACCAGTCTGGGGCTTTGGGAAGAAGGTGAGTGAGGTGCTAGCTGGTTTCCGAGGTCCCCTTCCTGGCTTCTTATCTGGAATGCTACATAAGATCAGACACATGCACAGATACCATGACCCTTAGCCTTCTCTCTACACATCTGTCCACTAGCTCATCTCACACTTTTTTGCTAAAGTTACAGGGAGCCCTTGACATAAAAGGCCAGGAAGTAGTCCCCTTCACTGTCTCTATAACTTGGATACAAGAACCGGCCAAGTCCCACATTAAGGACACGGAAACTGATACACCAAAAAAAGATGGCTAGTTGAACAATAGCAGCTGGTAACAACCTAGAGTGTCATCAAAAGGAAAGTGATTAAATCATAGACCATTCTTAAATGGAGCATTACACAGCAGTTAAAAAGAATGTGTTAAATCTGTACGTGCTGATAGAGAAAAACATCTCAGACATTCAAGGGGAAAAAGCAAGTTTCCAAACAGTATACATAGTGCATTCAATCTGTGCCAAAAACTTTAAGAATATGTGTATGTTTCTATTTATACAGCAAATTCCAAAAGGCTACCCATGCAACTGTGACCAAAATTTTCTTTTACTTTTTACTTTATGTTCTAACTTAATCCAGAAAAGTTTTTACTATGAGCACACATTAAAATGGCACACATTTTATTAAAAGAAGGAAAAAAAGGAAGGAAGGAGGGAGGAAGGAAGCAGAAAGAAAAGAAAGGAATGAAGAATTAACGACCAATCAACTCCTGGTGGTCACCTGACAATCTGGCTCCTCCCAGTCACAGAAGATAATTCGGCCAAAAGAACTACATAATCTGCATTACAGGATAAAGGTATGACCCTATGACCACAAAAAGGAAAATTTCTAGAGACATAGTTTTAATGTGGTTCAGGTTTTTTTTTTTAATAATAAAAAGAATTTTTAGCCCTTGATAGTATCAATTTTCTACATTTAAATATAGAGAATGAAAATAATGTGTCCCTTCAAAACAACTAAGAGTTACCTTAAGAAGAAATTTACAAACACTTCCCACCTCCAAACTCATCTCCACACCCTGCTCTCATTCACTTCACCTTCTCCGCTCCCAGCTCTCATGTGTGTTTCTCATCTGGCACAGCTGAAAGGAGAATCTTTAAAGTTCCTCCCTCTCTGAGCACTGAGGATGTACTCCTAGCTCATGACACTTTCTTCTTATGGGTGTCTCCTGCTACTGGTCCCTTATCTTGTTCTCTGGCTTCTCTTCCCACATGTCTTTTTACTTACACAGACTACAAAAGCCCTTGGAGGGCAGGAAGCACATAATTTACTTCAGGAAATCTCCCCTTCTTACCTAGAACTGTCTTGTTCCATTATAAGAAAGTGCTTAAATACCGTTGTTGAGCAAATGAGTGAATCAAAAACAATCACTGCTCATAGACTGCCAAAGCTGGAATGGCTCTAGAGATCATTCAGGACAGGTCCTGTGCTTTCCTGATGAAACTGAAGCCCCCGGAAAAAAAGGGGTTACTCAGCCCCAGGTCACACAGCTTACAACTAGGGGATCTGAACCAGAGCCCAAGGCAACTGACCCTAAACAGCAAACAGCACTCTTTCCACACTTTACACTGTCTCCCACATTACACCTCCCCATCTGAAGGCCTTACATTGGGAGGCTACCGTTGAAAGGAAGCAACAAATCAGTTACCTTCCCCAGTGTGCGTGGTTCCGGAGGCAGGAGCAGGGACTGGATTCCAATCCATACATCACAGTTTCCCCATAATCCACAAAGGATTTATTCAGCCTGGAAGAGGAGGAGGGAAGAGGAAGGGCAGAATACATGGATTAGACAATGACAATGACCGAACGAGTGGAGCCACTGAGATCTGAGCCAGTTCCCATCTGTCACCCTGGAGATACCACACTGAGTCCTGTATCTCATGCTTTCAAAGATCCTAAGTATTAAGTCGACAGAATGGTTACTTTTATCATAATTAACAACCATCTGGTAGAATCATTTCAATGGGGTAAACATTACAAAGCACATGAAATTAGTACGCAGTGTCTATTTGCTGCACATAGGTAAATTTAACAGATGACAATGAGCCAGAAAAGAACACAAAAATACCCAGGGAAAGGAAACGCTGCAATCTCAAGTAGCTACCTCCAGCCAATGTGAAGAACTGAGAATGGTCTTCATCAATGCTCATTTTCAGGGTTGATAACAGAACCCAAAAGGACAATTTGTCACTTGAGAGGTGGTTCAGAGGGCTCTCACCTGCGGCAGAAGTGGTGAGCACATTTCACCAGGATACCCATGCAGTGCACAGCTATGATGCCTATGACCAGCAGGCTGACGGGACCCATCTGGGGACAGGTGTTGCAGACAACAGAGAGAGAGACAAGTAGGTAGAATTATCAGTGAACCCAATGGAAACTCGGTTTGCAAATGATTAAAAAGCTATGAAGGCACTTTTCAGTGATATAACTTTGGGCCCAGCATTAGAGAGAGAAATGTGATCATGAAGATTAGCTCTGTGACATGGATGCTATCTAAACTTTCAAGAGATTTAGTCATGTGGAGAAGAAGGACATAAGATAAGTCTGTTCCAAGACTGGGACGAGTCAGTAGAATAGAAGGCTCCCATGACTGTGGGAAGAAGAGATGGGCTAAGGGACGCTGTGGGGAGAGTTATCTTTACAGCATTGCCAGATCAAGAGGGCAACCCACATTTCTGAGCCTCTCTTCAACTCCAAAAGAAACAGAATGGCTTTGGGCAGGCAGTCAACAGAAAGTGAATCATAAAAAGAAGACCGAAGATTCTTGGAGTTGGCCATTTAGGAACAGGACATGGGGGACCATGTAGAAAATGGGCAGACATCTGTAACTAACTCATTAGTTTGTATTATTGACAGAAACTGCATGAGCCATCTCAGTACATCCTCTCCACCATGAAGTAAGCTCCATGAGGGCAGGTATCTTTCTTTACTTCACTAATGTATTCTAAGAGCCTAGAACAGTGCCTAACACACCAAACACTCTCAATAAATATCTTTAGGTGAATGAATGTCTGAATTTTGCTTTTTGTCAACTGATTTTTTTTAAATCCTTCTCTATTGAAAATGCTTTAAAGCAAGTACATTTTAACAACAACAAAGAACTACCTCTTAAAATTTGTCACTACTCCCTTCCACTGACGCAAACCTTACCACTATGCCTGCATTTTTCACTGCCAGTGGTAGCCCCAGGAGTCCTGTGCCAATGTTGCCTTTTAACAGGTGGATCAAGGTCTGGAACCATCTGAAGTGAAAGACAAGGAAAGGATAACCATGACAGTTAACTTTTACTAAGCACTTAGTGCTTATATGCATTATTTTATTTCCACAATAACCCTGTAAAATTTTATTTTATGGAGGACAATGCAGTTTGCTCAAGGCCACACACCTAGTTGTGAATCCTGCTGAGGCAGGATTCAAATCTGGGCAGTCTGACTCCAGAGCTCCCTCTCTTATCCCCTGTGCTGTAAGTCCCCATTCTTTGTGGCATTTCTGAGAATTTAGTCTCTCAGAGATTAGATCAGAGGGGTGCTCTGACTCTCTCCAGACACACTATCCTTTCCGAGGGTATTTGAGTCTGGTTCTAACCACTGAATTGCCCGCTGGGCACAGTGGCTCATGCCTGTAATCCTACCACTTTGGGAGGCTGAAGCGGGTAGATCACCTGAGGTCGGGAGTTCAAGACCAGCCTGGCAAACATGGCGAAACCCTGTCTCTACTAAAAATATAAAACTTAGCAGGGTATGGTGGTATGCATCTGTAATCTCAGGAGGTTAAGGTAGGAGAATTGCTTAAACCCAGGAGGCAGAGGTGGCAGTGAGCCAAGATCATGCCACTGTATTCCAGCCTGGGCGACAAAGTGAGACTCCATCTCAAAAAAAAAAAAAAAAAAAAAAACCACACACACCCCAAAACTGCAACAGAGGATGACAACCCAGACTATGATGGATAAACACTGGTGACAGAACAGAGGAAATTAAAAAAAAAAAAAAAATAGAAGCCCCAAATGCAGAAGTCACGCAATACCATAAGAGACCAGAAGTCCCTGATATACTTTGTGTCAAAAACAAAAAAAGTCTAATGCCATAGGATCAGAGAAGTCCTTTCAGAGAGTCATTTCATTTACCCTTCTGCTGTGAGGGCAGATTTGTACAAACTGTCCCCTTCAAGCCACAATGGTAAAGCCTCTCATGCTTCCTCATTTATTTTTTCACTCAACAAATGCTATCTATCACATATAAAGCAGTGTTGACTGCAGTGGTGAAAATAGGTATGAATCTGGTATGGTTCTCAGCCTCTAGAAATTAATAATGTCTCAAGGAAAATAAGGGAATGCATTAATAACCACCAAAGGTAGATAGATTCTTGTTTTTAAGAAAAACCCAATAATGGAGACCAGGGAGAAGGGAGGCAGGTGAGGCTTTATACAGAAGAGAGCTGAGCTGAGCCCAGCAGGACAGGCAGGAACTATAAATGTGCTTCTGGGGAAAAAGACTCCATTGGCAAAGAGAAGGGCTTTGGAACAACACCCTAGAGAGAGACCTGGGACCGGAATCAGGAGTAGTAGTTGGCTTTAGTCGCCATTCGAGTTAGGGTGAGGGTGAGGGTGGAGGCATGAAGTTTTTCTTTTTTCTGCAGGGAATAGAAACTTATCAAAAGACTGACTACAGAAGGGTGGTCTGACTACAGAAGGGTGGACTGACTACAGAAGGGTGGTCTGACTACAGAAAGGTGGTCTGACTACAGAAGGGTGGTCTGACTACAGAAGGGTGGTCTGACTACAGAAGGGTGGACTGACTACAGAAGGGTGGTCTGACTACAGAAGAGTGGACTGACTACAGAAGGGTGGTCTGACTACAGAAGGGTGGACTGACTACAGAAGGGTGGACTGACTACAGAAGGGTGGTCTGACTACAGAAGGGTGGACTGACTACAGAAGGGTGGTCTGACTACAGAAGGGTGGTCTGACTACAGAAGGGTGGACTGACTACAGAAGGGTGGTCTGACTACAGAAGGGTGGACTGACTACAGAAGGGTGGTCTGACTACAGAAAGGTGGTCTGACTACAGAAGGGTGGTCTGACTACAGAAGGGTGGACTGACTACAGAAAGGTGGTCTGACTACAGAAGGGTGGTCTGACTACAGAAGGGTGGACTGACTACAGAAAGGTGGACTGACTACAGAAGGGTGGACTGACTACAGAAGGGTGGTCTTGTCTTCAATTTCTATCTACTGTTACCTCCAGGAAAACAGGAAACAGGTCACAGATAGTTTCACTCTGCCCCAAATCACTCAGAATTTGGCCCGTGGCACTGTCTGTGGTTCTACTGCACATATAACCTAAATGCCTCAAAACTGGTATTTACAGACATTTCTTCAGATCGGCAATTCACCAGAGACTCAGAGTAAATAACACTTGTTACTCATAGAGGCCATTAATAAGACCCATCTACACTCTCCGGAAAAGAATTTCACTTTAACCTTTCTCCTTTTACCTTGAAGGGAAAAAAAAAAATCTCATGATTTTCCTACTGTACCCAGCTTTTTCAAGAAAGATCAAGGACACTACTTTGCCTCCACATGAGAAGAGGCTAAGTGCTCTCCTGGACATCCTAAAGAAACAGCTTAAGCATTACATGTGTCCACCAGCAAATGCATTATCAGTAGCCTGTAGCTGCAAGATAATGGGGTCTATTACATTTTTATCTTGGCAAATATTTAATCCACTTAAGGGCAAAGCACTGTATCAAACCCACCTACCTACCAGAGACCTCACCAAAATGCCTCTGAGCTGGCTATCTTGGGACACTAGGTCCCTTTCCCTAGCTCTGCCATCACCTTCATATGACAATTCCTCCCCTCCCTTCCTGGGCCTGCTGTCTAATCCATAAGGTGAGGGAACTGGACTAGGACAAAATGATCTCCATGATCCCTGCAGCTCTGAAACACCAGGACTCCAGGCAATTGACCAAGATTACTCTTTTTAATAGATGGCCCCAAGCTGGGTTTACCCAGTACTGTGTGAGAAGCACAAAATGAACTTCATAAACTGTGAAGTCTTAACTATAAGGATGACTATCTTTCTGAAAAGGGGAGGGAGGAGCCTAGCAAATCTCTGTACTTCCATTCATGCTCCATCACTCATTCTTAGACTTTTTGGTCTCTCGAACCCTTTATTTTCTGATAAATCACTAAAGATGCCAAATAGCTTTTGCAGCAGATGTCAATTACAACTGCTGGTATATACTATATTAAAGATTAGAACTGAGAATTAAAAAAATATTTAATTAAAAATAACAGCTGGGAGCAGTGGCGCACGCCTGTAATCCCAGCACTTTGGGAGGCCGAGGCGGGTGGATCACGAGGTCAAGAGATCGAGACCATCTTGGTCAACATGGTGAAACCCCATCTCTACTAAAAATACAAAAAATTAGCCGGGCATGGTGGCGCGCGCCTGTAATCCCAGCCACTCAGGAGACTGAGGCAGGAGAATTGCCTGAACCCAGGAGCTGGAGGTTGCGGTGAGTCGAGATTGCGTCATTGCACTCCAGCCTGGGTAACAAGAGTGAAACTCTGTCTCAAAAAAAAGGAAAAAAACATAACAATAAGTTCATTCCATGTTAATACAAATAATTTTTTAATGGCAAAGACCCTATTTTCCAAAAAAGAAAATGTGAGAAAAATAGCACTTTTTTTTCCCCCCAAATCTCTTTAATATCTCACTTAACAGAAGACAGCTGGACTACCTGCTTCTATTTTGAATCTATTGTGATATGTCATTTTTGAAGTTTATGAAAAAAATTTGTTTTTTCATAGATGTGGTTGGAAAAGGAGGAGTATTTTAATGGCCACCACAGACAATAACAGTAATTTTTCTTTGACATGACTCCAAAATGCCACACGATAGTTTTTTAGAAGTTACCTGCAATGTGGTCTGGGTGCAGTGGTTCACATCTGTAATTCCAGCATTTTGGGAGGCCAAGGAGGGTGGATCACCTGAGGTCGGGAGTTTGAGATTAGCCTGGCCAATATGGTGAAACCCCGTCTTTATTAAAAATACAAAAATTAGCTGGGTGTGGTGGCCTGTCCCTGTAATCCCAGGTACTCGGGAGGCTGAGGCAGGATAATCACTTGACCCGGGAGGCAGAGGTTGCAGTGAGCCAAGATTGTGCCACTGCATTCCAGCCTGGGTGACAGAGCAAGACTCTGTCTCTCTCCATCCATCCATCCATCCATCCATCCATCCATCCATCCATCCATCGGTGATCTTGCTCTTTCATTGGATATTTTACCCAATGCGGAATTCCTAACATCACACTTTGGTTGAATTTATACAGGTCTTCTAAATGCTGACATCTTCATTATATATTAATAATATAAAAAAATCACATTAGTATCACCACTGATCTCATCAGAAAAGTCTCCAAGTAGAGAGGCTATCAAGCCCATGGCACTGGATACTTGTTTTTTGGTTTTTTTTTTCCTAATTTTGCTTGAAAGCTTGAATTTTATTCTGGGCAACAGATACGTATATTATCTATTGTTTTCCTTGAGATGATGGGCTCATTTCTTTCATTTTCAAGAAAATGTCTTGCAAGTACTCTGTCTGAATGACCTGCAGTTTGTTAGTTGTTCGTTCTGGCTCTATGAAAAAAAAAAGCAGCAAGTTTGGTTGACAACTTAAATAATCACTGAAGGTCTTTGCCCTGAGACAAGTAACATATTTTGGTACTTACAGAAGTACTTCATGTGTACTTCGTATTTTGCCACAGAGAATATGAAAGACCTATACTGAACGGTCTCAATTTTTTAAATACTAGTAATCCAACGGTTTCATCAAAGACATTCTCAAGTACAAAGGCCTTTTTTCTTTGCGCATGTGTGGCAGTGAAAAATACAATGACAACTAGTATAATTTGGTGCCACTGCCTTGACTCATTCTACAGTGCAATTTTACCCATCATTTCTTTCACTTGTGGATATTTGCTAACTGCAAGTGAAAGCAATTCACTTGTAGTTAGTGAAAGCTAAGCACAAATATCCACAAGTAAAGGTGGACAACATCTTAGTATTATTATGAAGATAGTTTTGGCCTCATAGACTTCTTGAAATGGTCTTTGGAAGCCCAAAAAATCTGCAGACCACATTTTGCAAATGACTACTCCAGCTCACCTTTAGAGATCCAGTCTCAGTCTGCTGGTTTCAGTTTGACATGGGTAAGAAGCACAGAGGCTTGATATATATAATGGAACTCAGAGGCGCAACAAGAAAAAAAATTTGCCCAACAACATAAAATGAGGCTGTCTCCAAAGCAGTGAATAGCTTGATAAGATTAAGTGTTAGTGAATAATCTCACGGAACACACTAAGAAATAACTCACAGGTTGGGCATGGTGCTCACGCCTATAATCCCAGCACTTTGGGAGGCTGACATGGACAGATCACTTGAGCCCAGGAGTTCAAGAACAAGCTGGCAACATAGCAAAACCCTGTCTCTATAAAAAAAAAAATTATCCAGCTGCATGCCTGTAGTCCCAGCTACTCAGGAAGCTAAGGTGGATGGGAGGATCACTTCAGCCCAGGAGATGGAGGTTGCAGTGAGCCATGATCGTGCCACTGCACTCTAGCCTGGACAAAAGAGCAAGAACCCATCTAAAAAAAAAAGGAAATAATTCATGGAAGCCTTTGGTGTTCTTATTTGCACCCTCTAACTAGAGGTTTTTACTGAGTCCTTGATTTCTAGAAGAGGTAGGTGTGTGCATGCAAATGTGCAGTAGGTGTAGAAGTACTTCTGTGTATTTTGTTACTTGGCAAACTAGATAAAAGGGTAAGGAAAGGCAGAAATATAAAAGGAACCCAGCTTAAAAACTTATCCCTAACACTTCCTATGTATTAAAAGAGTAATTTAGGTTACAAAGGTCCTCCAAATCAACCTCTACCTTAATCATACTTGGGATGTTTTCTACATAAATGCTTCTGTCAATCCTATGCCCCAGGCTAGAAGTACTGTAGGTCCCCTCAAAGTACTTTATCTTGTACCACCTGTGATGGGACTGTGATACCTGCCATCAACTGCAGATGGGCCTTCCTAGTCACCTACATTGTATCACAATATCAAGGCAGAAAGGGAACCTCAGAACAAAGTACACCCTGGAAAATGTCACAATACAAACCCAAAGAAGGTTTCTTCTGATGTATGATTTCCAAGAAACAAGGACATAATTTTGAATTGGCCGTTAATTATAACACAATGTAGAGAGAAAAAAAAGAGATATTCAGAATAGCTAACAGGTATGCATCAGCTTCCACATGTCCAAAACTTATGAGCTACTATCCTGAAGTTGCTAGTTGCTAAGTTTTGAGCTTCAGAGAGGTGTCCATAAAAAGAAAATCCAGATTCCCTCTGCTAAGTATTGCTTAAATAAGTTAATATCTGAGATCAAAAAGGAGCAAAAACTGCAAAGGAAACTACAGAGAGGGAAGCTTAGCAGAATCTCACAATAATGAGCATGACCTCTGACGGGAAGCCATGATATGCCATTGGCTGTGTGTGGAGCTGCTGCTTCGTGGGGGCTGCCAATGCTGATAAGGCCGGAGGAAAGAGGGGCAGGGCGAGCCACTCTGCTGCCAGCTGTGCTCTAAGCAATCTACCACCAGCTAACTCCCACTGCAGGCTAATGAGGAATCTACAAAAGCATATCACCTGAGAAATAAGCTACAGAAACAGAATCTTAGAGGACTGGTTGAGTACTTCCAGCCTGGGGCATTCTTAAGTCCGAGCTCTTAGCTGGCACCAGCCCTGTAGGGCCAACACAGCTGAAAGGAATGAAGAATAAGAACCAGCCTAGAGAGTGGCAACCCATGAAGGCAAAGCTCAGCACGGTCACGTGAGCCCAATCTCTTCATTGCTGACCTTCATCTGTAAAGTGAAGGACCGATGAAACTGGGGTGGAAAAATAAGTCCAAGGGAGACTCAGGAACAGGAATCCCCACCCAGGAGAGGAGAAGGTAACAGCTACTCACGTTGTGCTGTTGCTTTGATCAAAGCGCTGGTAGGAGCCGGGGGAGGAGAGGTGGCTGAGGCCTTCGGACGGGCTCTCCTCAGGGCTCACGTCAGTGGAGCTGTAGTCATGGTAGTTTTCATTCCGAAGTCTCTGCGTGGACATGGCAGCTGCGGGGACAGGGCCAGCATTAGGACCTCCCGCAGCTGGAGCCTGTAGCTCCATGTTTGGGGTGGCCTCTGGGGCAGGAGCTGTCATTGTTGGAGTTGCTCACTGTGACAGCTGTGCTATGGATTAAGTATGAAAGCGTCTGGTACCAAGGGAAATGAAAAAGTGCAAAGTACACAGGAGTGGGCTGGTTCAATCGACTTCTGACTCCTATCTTTCCCATTGGTATACCTGGTGTTACACTCATAAATTTCTTAATTTTCCAGAGTATAGCTAGACAAGGCAGAGGTGAGGCACTGCTTGGGAGGAGTGGGGGAATGAAAAAGTGCTTCCTGGAAGCACTCCCCATTCCTTAGGTCAGGATTATTCACTCCTTCCTCTGAGCTAATTTCTTGGACCTTGCGCAATAGCTAAATTGTATATATATGCCCAAGCTCTTGGATGGAAAGCTGGGTATTTCTCACTGTATATTCTTTTTTTTCTCTGCCTTCAATAGAGAACCTGTTTCACTCAAGAAATCCCCTCTGGACCAGGCGTGGTGGTCCACACCTCTAATCCCAACACGTTGGGAAGCTGAGGCAGGCAGATAACCTAAGATTGGGAGCTTGAGACCAGCCTGACCAACATGAAGAAACCCCGTCTCTCATAAAAATACAAAATTAGCTGGGTGTGGTGGTGCGTGCCTATAATCCCAGCTACTTGGGAGGCTGAGGCAGGAGAATCACTTGAACCCAGGAGGCAGAATTTGCAGTAAGCCTAGATTGTGCCATTGTACTTCAGCCTGGGAGACAAGAGCAAAACTCTGTCTCAAAAAAGAAAGAAAGAGAGAGAGAGAGAGAGAGAAAGAAATCCTCTCTGGATCATCCAATTCTGCTCAAACTCCCACCAAGTTCCAGAGGCACACATGCCATTCTCCTTCTCTCTGCTGTGACCACCGTCCGATCCTATACTCTTTGGAGGCCACCAGTAACTTTTATACCCTGACCCTGGCACTCCTTTCTTGCTGCCAACCTGAGTACTGAGAAATGGTAGATGAAAGCAGCTCAGAGAAAGGGTGCTCACCTTGGCCCTTGTCTCAACATCTCCCATCTATAACTCTCCTTCCTTTTTATTTCTATAGATTTGCTCATTTTTAAAATGATGAGAGAAGAAAACTCTCCTTTCAATGTGCTGGGAGGATGTAAGAGTGGTGTCCCCTGGGTGGACTTACTGAGGAATACTGTTAATACTACACAAAAGAGAAGAACAAGGGCTTAAGATATACAAAAAGGACACATTTTGGGAGCTGTGTACAGGCCCCTAGAATCATAGAGACCATTGCTAAATGAGCCTTCACAGGCCACTCCAAGCCCCTTACTTTAAAGATGAAGAATCAATGCTAAGTAACCTGCCCTGCAACAGCTAGGTGGTATGAGGCAGAAAACATTATCTCCTGGCCCCTATCTGAATCTGAAAACATCCACTCTAGAGAGTGCCAGTTGCTATGAGAGAGTATTACAGCACAGGGAAAGAGTCAACTTCTTGCTCTTCAAGAACCAAGTAACAAAAAAATGGTACATTAATATTAAAAATTACAAATAATAAATCCTTCTAAAACTTGGCAGACTGGCACAGCTGTTTGCCCATGAGGCTGTCCTATGGCATGTGGCTGGATGCCCACCCTGAGCCTGGGCACTCTATCTTAGCTACCTTGATAGGAGACAGGACCTCCAACTATGTCATAGTACCCCACCCTGCCCAGATACCCAGCACCACCTGCCAGAGAACAGTGCTCTGCCGATGGTTCCCCTTAGGTCCAGTCCCAGGGGACTCCTTTGGCAACACGCCAGCCTGGCAACAGAGTGATCCACGGGAGACCTCATTATTTCTCACCGACTGCAATGTAGGAAGGACCCCCAAGCCATCTCGCAAGGGAAGTACCTGTCAAAAAGCCAGCAAAGGTCCTGGAAATCCCTGAGAGGATCCTGCCTAGCTTCATTGCCAGAGCCACTTCAGCTAAAAATCTGAGAGCTTCATTCAGTCATGAGCTAGAGGAATTCAAGGACGCCATCCAGCTCTGGGGCAATTAAACTCATTAGAAGGCCAAGGGGAAAAAGACATCTGAAGTATCTTAACACCAGTATTGAAACCTCTTGCTATACAGGCATAAGCTTGTAAGTCAGTTTATAGGTATGTCAGGAGGCCCAGGCGCCAAGCCTGCCTCTGTCAAGTTTGCTTACTACCTCTGAATCATTTTCAAATGTGCAAAGGCAGAGGGCATAAACTAAAATATCTCTCAGCTCCTTGTAGCACTAATATTCTAGGCGTCACTGAATATAATTATGCAAACAGCAGCTGAGTGCAGTGGCTCACATCTGTAATCCCAGCACTTTGGGAGGCCAAGGTGGGAGGACCAGCATGGGCCCAGGAGTTCAAGACCAGCCTGGCACCATCGTGAGACCCTGCCTCTACTGAAAAAAAGAAAAAGCTGCTAATTTCTAGTCCCTTCCAACATACCAAAATCATCTGAAGATAAAACCTTCTGAGTGAATCCTGTGAGAAAGGAAAGAAAGTTTTTATCTGAGGAATCCCTTTAAATTATCAGGTCCAGAGAGGCACTAAAATGTGACAGCAGTCACCTGTCATTCCCCCCTTGAGTTAAACAATTACCTCCTGAAGCCCCTTGCTATGTGGGTTCTAGACTAACTGACACCACTAAGTCATAAAATGCTAACACTGGACATTATAACTCATATCCTATAGTCCAACAATGTACAGTCCATCACTAATCCATGTTACTTCCACAAGCCGATGAGAATTCCTGTCAAATAACTTTGTATCAGTCCTCTCCTTGTTTGCTTTTGCCTTTAAGAACCTGTGCTAACAAAGGCCAAAGGAAGCACTCCCCTAGGCAACTTGGAAGTGTATCCTGGGCAGCTGTCCTCACTATGGTTCAAGAAAACTGTTAAAAATTACATTTTGGGTCTCAGCTTCTTTCTTTAGGTTGACACCTATATATTACTGAAAATGAAAGGATGAATACAGGGACTCATAAGTTGCCCAATCCTTCCCTAACAACCGAGGGACCACTCTGTTGCTTACTTAGTACAGATGCTTGATTTATCTCAAATGGTCTAACGAGGCTCCTTTATGTTGTATATGAAAACTGAACCCACAGCAGAATGCTGCTAAGAAAACTGCTCAAGAAGAAGCTGAAATCCATAGATCTAAGGTCTAATAAGCCACTGCAGGATATGGAAGGTGTGGCCTAGCAACTGCATACATATCGAAAAAAGAAAAAAAAATCTGCTTGGGAGTTCTGGTTGATGATAAGCTCAACAGAAGGCAATAATATAATCCAAGATGCCAAATAAAGCAACAAAATCTAGATTGCATTAAGACACGAGAGAATCACAGGTAGGTATTACATAACTCAGAATTGCCACACTTTGTGTTCTGTTCCAAACAGCATGCTATAAAGGGAGTAATGAAAAACTGTGGTATATCTGGGGGTCAGAACCAGGGTCACGAAGGGTAGGAAACCAATGAAATGAGGACTGGTCGAAAGCACTGAGAAGGTCTTACCTAGCAACTTGAGAGGTACAAAAACTGTCTTTAAAAGCTCTCAGATGCATTAGACTTGTTACTTGGGGACTCAAAGATCAGGCAGAGTTAGTTAGGATCAGTACATGGAGAGTCAAAATGGCTGATTTTTGGCTAGGCATAAGGAAGAACTTTCTATCAAAGACAGACCTGTTCCAAATAGAACAGATCACTCTGGGAGAAAGCCTGTTCCCTTATCTCTGGAAAAATCCAAGCAGAAGCCCTTTCTCAGAGCAGTTATGTAAGGATTCAAGCATCAGACAGTGGGTACAGCCACTCCCTGGAGTTCTTTCTATAGTTCTTTCTGGAAACCAAGGTCTCTTCCTCCTGCTCTCTGTCCAACCCCTTCAGTGCCAGCCTTCATGGCCACGCTGCCCTTGGGCTCCCTTCGATGAAATCTAATAGCCAGGTCTATTGCTGCAATTGCCAGTTCCCACCCTGTGGGAGATTTTAATAGTACCTATTAACTGTCAATATGAGGGTTATACTATACAGAGCTGAAGGCAAGCTTGTCCTTCAGATTTCTGATGACAATGAACAGAATACAAAGTCCGAATCACCATAAGATACTTAGACTCAGAAGAGTGAGCAACTAAGTAAGAAAAGTCTGCATGTTTGATGGCCAAGAAAAATTAAAAATAAAAATTTAAGTGTACCCACCTTAAAACATTTCCTTTTTCCTTATATAACTATTTTTTTAGTTGTATAAATGACAAGAGTTGCTCTTCAATCTACAAAATATGCTATTTTTAGCTTGGCACTAAAAATGAGCAGGTGGGATTGCTTTGTGCAATGAATGCAGTATGGAAGATGTACATGCAAAATGAATTTTTATTTTTAAAAATAAATTTTATTCTGTTTTTTTAAAAATAAAAATTTTTATGTGTTACATTTTCTGGAACTGGGCAATTTTAAAGGGGAATTCTACAGTGATTTTTTTTTTTTTTTTTTTTAAGGCAAAGCCAGAAATTTTTCTATTAAATTCAGATGCTGATGTTCCCATTTTAACAGTATGGGATTCAGGACTAAGGAGAACATAACCAGGCTGTCAAAAGTTTTGTATTCTAATCCCAAAGTTGTTTTCTTGTTTTGATACAGAATTGAGAAGACTGCATTAGAGGATTTCTGAGTACACTTTCATTTCTAAAGTTTCAGGATTCCAATTTCAATTTTTTAGTGACTGGGTTTGTACAAAATAAAGGATGATTAAGACTCTAAATAGATGGTAACATATTCTAAACTTGCACCATCCAGTACAGTAACCGCTAGCCATAAATAGCTACCTCATACTTGAAATACAGTTCAGTAAAATTGAAATGTATGCCTACTAGATTTCAATGAACTGGTACCAAAAAAATTGTTAAATATCTCATGAATAATTTTATATGATTATATATTGCAATGATATCTGGGGTATACT